GTTTCAGATGTATTTGTTTGAAGGTTTTTGTGGCAAGAAGTCTGAATTTATATTGATTTTAGAGTTTCCAGAAAAAAAGCCAAATCTATTTATGATCTAGAAATATGATTCAGATGAAATTAGATGTTTTAAACAATCATCTCTTCCTCCATCCTTAATGATACATGGAAGAGACACTACACAAATGTCATGTCCATAGACTGTGAAAATCCGAGAATTGGGCCCTACTCTGGGACATGGACAGATTTAATTTTGTGAGAGTATCTCCCCCAACAGCATTTGGAGTGTGTTGATGTCTTGGGTGGCTGTTCATTTCAAAAGTCACTTTCACATTTTTAGGCTCTGATCCAGTTTGGAGAGGGAGATGGATGAGACTCTGAATTTTCTGAGGCTGGCATTGAGCTGATGCTACTTATGTGTGATCAGATAAAACCTTCAGCACAGAGCAGTGGATAAGTTTGGCAGTAGTGCTGCTCAGCTCTCCTGGTATGGCTGCTCATGCTGTTTATTTCCATGTCCTGAGATCCCTGTGCATTTTCTGTAACACTGGAATGTCCTGAACTTAGGGTGGATTATAAGGATGATGCACATAAAGTTAACTGGGTAGTGTTAATGAGACATTTCCCATGTGTTTCCTGGCTCTACCTCCTGGCAGGAGTACCGCTGCGTAGTGGGGGTATCATGCCACCAAGAAGACAAAATTGGATTGCCGGGAGTATCTGTGAAGAAATTCTGCCGGAGTCAGTGGAGTATTACAAAGCCATCTGAGTAACTTGCTTAGTTAAGTACTGCAGAGTACTTGACTTGAGAGAAATTGAGATAAACAGTTGTCTCTCTCCATGTCTCCTTTTCTGCTGTGAACACACTGAACCAATCTGATGTTAGCTAGTCAAATATGAATTTGTTGTGGCAGCCCTGGGGTTGTTTACGTACACACAGTGCCCTTGAAGTAGTAACTAAATGTTAAAGAACAGAGCTCTCAAACTATAATGGACATGATTTAAATCCATTGACGCTTCTCCTGAAGGAACCAGCAAGAAGATCAACTACAGAGTGCCCCTGTATGACATGGTGGACAGCAATGTCAGTACAGGAAATATGGGACAAATATATGGGAAATGGATCTGGACAGGGGGCATTACGTGCTTGATCTGCTTTTTTTTTTTTTTTTTTTTTGTCTTTTTCAGTGCAATTGAGCTTTCCAAAGGAAAATGCAGTCATTCGTAGATCATTTTCCTTAGAGGTATTAGCTAATTTGGAGCCACTGACTACATATATGATATGAAGAAGATTATTTATTCCTATTCCATTGCTTTGCAGTGATCCACAGTTAATTTTCATATCCCATTTGCTTGCACAGTCACTCAATATCACGAGATTCTTTGCAGCCACCTTTCAGTTTGACTGTTTGAACCATAAAGGCAAACATTTTTATCTTTTATCTTGCTGTTCCCACTCTGACACACATTTTCAATAGTGCACATAAGCCATTCTACAAGTCCCCCTTACCCTTAGAAAAGGTGACTGTTTTAACATTCTGGCAGTTTCAAAGAAGACAAAGAAAATTAGGACTGTCGTATATTTGCATCCGGGGCAGGAAGGTGATGTTAATGAATAACTCACTGTAAGTGAACATGTGGCTTTCCTGAGTACAGAATCTTTTCTAGCACTTTTTAAATCAACTGTGAACATTACTGAGTTTAGAATAAAATTAGTGCTTGAGGGGAGAATAGTTTTTTTTGTGGGTGAATTTGAAGATTACCTTATGGCATGTACTTCTTAAAGTTTTTTATTATGTACCATTTTGTACCATTATCATGTATGATAATTATTTTGCACCATTTTATCATGTTTGTGACTTCCTTTTTTGATGGTACTAATATAGTTGTAAATTGAGTCATTTTTCAGGTGGGAAGACAAATCTTATGCAGTATCCAAAAATACCATGTATTAAGCTATCAAATATAGCAAGAAAATATAATACTGCAGTGAGTCAAAACACAGAGGTTACAATGACTGTAATAACCTGCAGTGAATAAAACCCCAGAGATTTAATGTTAAACTGCCATCAACCTGAACTTAAGGCCAGATTCTGATTGCCTGCTTTACCCGCTTAAGTCTGATTTACTGACTCTACCCCGAAGGTGTCCAGTTCAGCAAACAGATTTTGGGCATCAGAGTTAAGCACTAATGTTCCCTGTAGAGCCAGAAGAAAGCAATGGAGCAGGGCAGTCAGCTTTAGAAAATTTCAAGAGCCTGAATGAGCTGCTAACTTTGCTATTGTCTGTCTATAGAACAAACAGTAAAAAATTAAACATGCCAAGAGAACACATGGGGCTTTTGCAAGTGACCTGCCTCCTTGGAATGATTCTTGGAGCATTTTGACTCTCAAGCTCTGCCTGGGAATTATTTGAGGGAGGGCTTGGACTTGGACCCTGTCAGAACATGTCTAGGGAGCTGTTCAGTGCTCCTGCACACTATCCAACTTGTTGGAGAAGCACCAACTTTTCATCGAAGTAAAAATGATATGAAGAAAAAAGGATTAAGTGCTGTTTTGAAGCAAGTCTGTTTCCTTTACCTGAGACTTTATTTCTATTGGCATCAAATACACTTTTTTATAATATATTGTATTATTCTACATAATATTTAGCTTTGAAATATTTCCCTTTCATTTGAAATTAATTAATAAAACCCTCTACATGTGGTATTTAGGTTAGCTTTAATCTGAGAATCTAGAAAGATCACTTTTTAAATGATTTCTAAATTGTGTCTAAAGAGAAGTTTTTTCTCTGGAGTATATTTGAAATAGAATTGGTATAATGCATTACAGAAATGTTGAGAAATTAAGAGATTTTCAGACTGAGTATTGGGTTATTTCCTAAAAGAAAAAAAATTTTAAAATCACTGAATCACTGTAGGCTGAATATTCCCCAACTAAATATTTCCCAAATAAAAAATTAATCATCAGTGTTCCCTCAATAGTTCTATAATGTGCTCCTCCTGAAGAACTGGGGAGGGTCAGAGAGACTGTGTCTAACTTTGTTGAAATCAAACTTTAAGGTCAGGTACTTGAGAGGTTAATAGCTATTGAAATTAGAAATTTGTTTCTATTAAAAATCTTTTGCTGTGATAAGCTTTAATGTAACAGTTACGACCAAATAAATTCTTAGTCACACTTTCTTGTATTTACCTTTTCATTAATATATTGTCTTGAGTTTCAACACTTCCAGTACATGCAGGTGTATGAATCTATCATTAACAATATAGCAAATTTGAAGTAAATATGAACCCTTTTTTTATATATAAACATAACATCTAATATCTGGAAAATGTTTTAAGTTTCTTTCAATTGCAGGTTAAAAGAACACATCTCTGCATTTCCATGTATTCACTGTTGACAATAAAAATGCCTCCATTAATTCTTTTTTCGGATGAAAAAACGTGATTCAAACTTTTTGTTACCACATTTAAGATTAAGTGATCACATCTGTTGAGTAGCTTTTGAAGGATGTAGGGTAGATTTGAGTCATTAGCTAGAAGCTCTTTTTTTCCCCATTAACTTGTAGGCAGAGTACTGTCTCCAAAGTGAGAAGACTTATTAGACTTAAAAGTTATAAATTATGTTATCAAAGTTCAAGCCACTTGATTATAGCACACATGTGACATTCTCAAATACTACCAATGCAGTTTTCTTCCTGTCTAAAATAATCAAGCAGATAATAGATTTCACATTTCACAGTAATGGAAAACTGTCAGGAACATTTTGAGGCATTAATGACTGTAGGCTTAATATGCCTTTAACTGTTTTCATCTGAAGAAGAAACGTGTAGCTTTTGCCCTGAGCAGTTCCATCTTTGGAATGAATGTTGCAAACAATATCAGTTAATTTGGTGATGCACTGATGTGGTTTATATGAATGTCTATACAGTATGGATTTATTTGGGTGCTTCTGCAGAAACTGTCTTTGAATTTATTCACAACAAAAAAAGATTTCAGTTTTGCTATTCAGATCTTATTATGTCAGAGTTATTTTTATTTTTCTGCTATGATGCAAACTATCTTGTATATGACAATCCTTTGTAAACAAATGAGAAACAACTTCAGCATCTACTACAGAAAGAATTGTGGCAGCTATTGCGGTTTGTACTGATCTGTGCAAATAATTTTTTTAACTTGTTCTCACCTCTATGGGGTAAAGTAGGCCTGCAGTCCAGGCCTTTTGTTCCTGAAGGTCAGTACATAAGGTTTCTTAAATGTTAATAATGCGTCATTGGTTTTGCTATTTTTTCTCTACCAGTTGGTAACATCATCTGTTAATGATGAATATTAAATGCTTATAAAATTATAAAGGAATTATTCCTAAACAATGATTTGTGTGACTCAAAGACAGTGATGACAAATAAGGTATTTTACATACTTTATTTTTAATGAAAATATTCCTCAAAGGCATGGATCCACTTAACAACTTGCTTAGCTCCCTAAAGAAGGAAATAAAGCTCCTCACTTTCTTCCTACTTGTTCAGTAGGTGGAATATTTACCTGATGTCTAAGACAAATAATTTGTCAATAGAATTGCCTTATTAAAGTTAAGGGCTTGACATGCTTGAAAGACCACAGACCCAGAGGGGTAACAAAATCTGGGAGGAAAGGTGTGCTACTGCAGGACACCCAAGATAAGAAGAAACTAACAAAACCAGCTCAGCACAGCTCAGTAATAATAGAATAGTAAACACTGAAGACCACCAGGTCACCCAAGATAAGAAGCAAGCTCAGCAATAACAGAGTAGTAAACACTGAATTTATATTAGATGAGTGAAATACATCAACAGCATATAAATAGTGGTCATCTTTTCTCCTTGGTGTGCTAACTTTGTAGCTTTGCAGCTTTGCTATCTAGCACCCATTTGCACTAATATAAAATAAACAAATACGTCAGCTTTGTGTGTGATTGGCTTACTGCACAGTGGGTGATGAACCCTGATTTTTGGTACAACATACCCACTAAGTAAGAAGATAAAATTATGTCACCAGAAGTAGCAGCGTCCTCTTAAATACTGCTTTATGTTCTTGTGAAATAGAAGGCCTAAGTGTAGCCTTGAGAAGAACTTTAGAAATAAAAGCATGTAGAATTTGTAAAAAAGTTAGACAAATAATACTTTAGAAACCCTGACCTTGAATTATAAAATACAGTAGTATTACACTCAAAGCATGTATTATAATTAGAATAACTCATAAAAAAGTGTACTCTGCACCTTGCATTTTTCCATTTGCATCGTTGCATTAAGTTCAAGGCAAAGTTTTATGGTTTTGGTTTGCTTTTCTGTAAAGAAAAGGATACAAAAATACACTACTAATAAGGCAAATATGAAAAATAAGATTAACTTCACTATAATGAAATGTCCATTATCAGGTATCTTCTGGGCATAGACCAGAAATTAGTATAACATTGTCCACTCCAATTTCTCCAGTTTTTCCCTTCCCACGTTCTGATTCAAAAGTGACCTGTCACAAAAAAATACATGTATTAGCAGTGAACATGTAGACTATGCAAACATTTAGCAACTCTTAATGTTAATTAATTATAAGTCTGTATCTGAGGAATATTTTATCACAATACAGGACTTAATGACTTAAATCCTTGCCGTTTTTAGAGCTTCCATGTGTTACTGGAACTATATTTAAAATCCTCTGTGGAGATTAACAATACCAAATGGATTACTTTAATAAGATTATTTATTTTCATTGTACAAAGAAAATGCAAATTGAGTGAAATCCTCTCATAATAATGTAGTTTTATCACAGTATGTGATGTTAATGCACTTCATTTATTAAAGACATTGCAACTGTTCATTTTTGATCTATTTGGATCCTTGGGTTTTTTGTATATATATATATATATATATATATATATATATATATATATATATTTACTCTCATGTATATTGAGTATAGTATGTATATAACATGGAGATAGGAGGTTCATTTTTATGAATAGAATGCCCGGGGTTTTATTTTCTAGTCTTTTTCTGCTTTATGTGAGGGCTTTTCTACGTCATTCCAGCTGTGCAAAGGACCTTGAAAAGGGCTTGCATTTCCTTTATAGTCACCATATTCAATTATATAGTAGATGCCTTTGCACAGCACTGAAAACGTTCAGTCACATAAATGGAAAGCAGACCCCAGAATGCCGAGGAGAAACTTGCTGAAGTCCTGAGTGAGGCAGTTTTCAGGTGTCCACCAGTGCACAGTATTCAAAGGTGATTGCCCACCCTTGATCATACATGATGTTGTCTCCTTTTTCTATAATGGTTTGGCTTAGTGTGGCTTGAGAGCACCCTCTTCTATGAAACAGAAAATTTTCGTTTTTCCAGGCATGTATGTAGGCTTCTGTTGCATGAGATATTAAGGAGAGATTTTGCTAACTTGTGTTAATTTATGATGTGATGCAGTTTTTTTACAAAATGACAGAATTACTGGTATCAGTGTTCTAATCAATTGTGGTAATTCACTTCTGAAACTACAACCAGGTGATAACTTCTCTGCCTCCTAAAATGTGGGCTCCTGTTTCCCCTTTCAGATAAGCCTTTCAATTGCTGATGCCTGTAAAACAGTTGGTGGAACGCTTGAGGATCAGGAAATTAAACTGTTGTGTTGGTTATGGTAATTGGCTTTTAAATTCTGTTATACTTACATTGTTAGTTGTCTCAGCTCCCTGAAATATCTCTATTTTTCCAGTTCTCCACCTTTCATCTTTTCCTGTGTTCTGCTCCCAGACAGGGGCAGTTTTTTTGTTTGCCAGGAACACTCGAAGTTTCCCCACTTTCTCACCAGCAAGCCGATAACTGAAAATCAAGCAGTAGCTGCTTTTTGGTTTCAGGTCAGTGAGAAGAAGTTTTAGACGCCCCATATCCTTCTTATGTCCCACAAAAGCTGGAACTGCCATGTAGTACCCATCACCTTGTAACACAAAAAAAAAGAAAAAAAAAAGCATCTTTAATGGATTTGTGTTATTTATGAGCAAATTGAATACACCTCCACTAAGAAAATAAGGGGAAGCTAGTTTACTTGAATAATTTAAAATCAGACTGGAGAAAAGCAGCAGGGAGTGTACTTTGCAAGGAATAAGTTTGTACGGTTGGAAGTCAGATCAGTTTACAGAGGAGATGAGTTCATATTTCACTGGCAATTACAGTCATTCTTCCTCGCAGTATCTTTCTAAGGCAAAACCATGTGTTTTTCAAATGCAACAGCCTGAAACATGCTGCTGTGCCTCTGTGGTCAGATGATTTCAGTTCTTTAACTAGCTCAGTTCTCTCTCCACTGTCCTCTGCACTGAGGAAAAACTCTTAAAGGAACTGATAGCTTATTCCCCGAGTCCTGGAGGACCAATGAAGTGACAGACACACACACAAAGTGATGAAGGAATAAGACATCTGGGCCCGTAAAGAAAGTCATAATCAGCAGATGTTAGTTCAGTGAGACAGAGTAAGGCCAGGATACGGTCTTCCTGGAAGTGACAGCACAGAAAAGGGATTTTGGGAATTATATGGAGCAGGACAAGAAGGATTAATGAAGAAAGACTGGGATGGAAAGACTGAGGGAAGAGGGAGAGAATGTGCATGTAGGAACTGGAGCAGTGGCCTGCAGGATCTGTAGGATCCGCTGGTCCCTACTGCAGCAACTTCTGCACATTTCCTGTGTCACGGGGAAGAGATATCCTTTCAAACAAATTCTTCCAGCCACACCTTTTTATGTACACCCACACAGCAGTCACACATTGCACCCATAGAGCTCTTTCTCAGGTTTGTGCAGGCCTCCTCTTGGTACCTGGTCAGGTATCGGTTGTTCTTGAATAGCACCTTTCCCTTGGCTCATTCTGAGGAATGCTGTCACTACTTTGTCTTGCACAGTTTGAAACTTCTGAGCAGCTACCCAAGTGATCTAAGCCATGTGAGTGACTACATTACCATACCCACCTAAATTATGGATGTGTGATTAAATGACTTACCAATCTTGGAGAGACACAATATGTAGCTGCTAAGGTATCCATTGCCTTGTACCTTGCAATTCTGAACAGTTATGTTCTAATAATTTTTCTTACAATTTGATTAGTTTGTACTGAAATATGTTGCTGACTACCAGCTGCTACTGGATATTTCAAAGAAAAAATATGCACTCCCAGTATCCTCTGCCTCATTTCTTCTTTTATAAAAATAACCCACTGATTAAAAAGCTAATTTTTTGATTCTGATTCTGGTTCCCCTCCCTCCCGCGTTTTTTTGAGGGGGTGAGCCATCAAATCAAAGCCTAGATAGAGGACAGATATTTAAATACCTCTGTCACGATCAGCAGGATTCCAGTCAAAGTCATCATCAGTATCTTGTTTCCAGTCACAGACTCCTCGACTGAAGCTGCAATCAACTGGATAAAACAATTTGGCAAAGAGAAACACTATATCATGGGTACTGTTAAAATAATTTGCTCATTATTCATACCACTATTAATGTACAGGTAATTCTAAAATTATGTATAATCTGAGTTCACATAGTCTTGACCTAGATTACGTTGCAAAAAAACCCAAAACATTAGAATTTATGTAGTAATCCTTTCTTTAACTCACAGGAAAATCTACTGTCCTTTTTTATTGCCAATCTTCCATCTGCACATGAGTTTATATGCTATGACTGCTGTATACTGAGTATCTGCTGATCCCCAAGTGTAGTTGGAGGTGTTAGTGTCAGAAGTGGTTTGGGATCTGGCAAATTTAGAGCTCTCCTCTCCGTTTGTTACACTGCTGTAGTTGTAATCAGCTGAGATCAGCTCCAGTTCTATCCGCTGAGAGAAGCTGGCCTCCCATGAGCTGAATTCCTTATGTCAGAACTTGATACTCCAACTACCTGGAGCTGGGAATAGCCCAAACCAGTTGACCTTTAGAGGATCCTGAAGGATGAACTGAAAATGGTGCCACCCAGAGCACACCACAGCCTTCATGACTGTGGAGATGAAAAGCATTACATGCACAAAAGAAACACTGTGCAGTGCAAGCATGACAGATCAGATTGAGAGTAATACGTCAGCCATCTGAACTTCCTCAGAAAGATGCATCTTTCTTCTTCTAATAATGTATTTTATCATGAGACAGAGACATTCAGAACATGGCATTTAGAGAGCTCTGCTGTATAAATCAGCTGTTTCTGAGTATGTCTAAATAGGAAAAAATGTCAGCCAGCACATCTGTCTGTTTTGTTTGTTTAAGGTTTGGAAGTATTTGTGGATTGGTTTTGTTTGAAACCCACCTTGCCCTAAAAATAACCTCAGCTACAGCCAACCCCAACACTTCAGCCCCTGCCCACTCACTGGTACCTCCCCAGGAGTTTGCTATTGCCCTGTAAATCCATCAGCTCATTAAAATCTCTCAGTCCCTCCTTATGGATTGTGGGTTTTTTCCATGGTTCTCAGAAGCAGGTCCATATCGTCAGCTTCATGATTCTGTACATTACAAGGGAAACTGTTTCCCACTATGAGAGAAGGGGAGGGTGCCCAATAATCATAGAATCATTAAGGTTGGAAAAGACCTCCAAGATCATCAAGTCCAACCTTTGACTGAACACCACCATATCAACTAGACCATAGCACCAAGTGCCACATGGAGTCATTTCTTGAACACTTCCAGGGATGGTGACTCCCTGGGCAGCCTGAAAACCCTTTTGGCGAAGAAATTCTTTATTCCTTTATGCTCTGCTTTAACCAGAGCTACACTGCGGTGTCTGTTATAGCTCCCAACAGGCAGTGGAGTTTTCTGCTTCAAAGTGCATGAAGCCATTTTCTAAGGCACAGCAGAAGCTTAAGTTCTGTATATAAATTGACAGGTCTTGGACCTTCTGTGCTCCCCTGACTTTGTAATGATTTTTTAATGTGAAAAAGAACATGTAGCATCATCTTACTGTGATATCCACAAGACTTACTGATGAATAGGGAACTATAACAAATTCATAGCCAGGTTACGTAAGATTCAGGGTAAATATTTATTCAGTCTTGTGCAGGGGAAACTCCTACTGACTTCTGACAGAGGACCAGAAGTAAAACCAAGATAAAGCAGACAGACACTGGCATATTATTGTGTGTCATGAAATGTATTCTCATTTTTTATATGATAGAAATTATTTAATTTGTTTATGATTATGAAATTATTCAAGTGAAGTTCAATTACAAGTCAGGTTCCAGTGTGAGGAAACTTTCTGTATATGGATTATAAACAGTTCTGTTTGGAAAAGGACATAAACCCAGCTTCTTACGTGGGAACTGGCAGAATGGTTTGGCCAGATATTGTCTCTAACGTGTTCACCAAATCTTTGGTTTGTGTTAAAGGCTTTTAAACTCATTCTGACTTGCCTGATACAGGTTGTCATGAAAACATACAATACATAAGAAACTAAATACTGTAGAAAAAAAAAAATCTACCTTCTTGCTCTGGTCTTGACACTGGAACTTTCCTATGTGCCAGGTGAGGGCCAAAGGCAGCTGCTTCTTTCACCTTGGGAACTAGGAAAAACAACAAGTGCTGAGTCATCATGGAAACAGAAAATGGAACTTTATTTCTTTGTACCAGATGGTATCATTTATTTAAATGAGACAATGTATGTATTTTCACTCTACTACCAAACTCCCATTCCTAACCCCAGTCAGACACTAACTCTGAATTTTAAAACTTGGTAGATGTATCTTGTGCCAAACTGGAAGAGTCAGTACATCAGTGAATGTTAGGTGCATTCTCCAAGACACTGGCCTGAAGAAGGTACTTACTTAAGAAACATTATTTTTCAGCAACAGCCTCAAAGACCAAGGGATAACCTCTCCTGTCTGGTGAGGCGGAAAGTTGTAGAAGTTTACGTATTCTTGTTTACGCTGAATAATACTCTGAAATACTTTAAGTATTTTAAAGTTCTGTGATTAAGCTTCTTTTGTACTATTTTAAGTGATTAATATAGAGGTGGACTCAAAAATAATGACAGTCTCGATTTCTTTATACATATTCTGTGTAAGTAAATAATCACACATGAGAGAAATGATCTGCTTTCACTGGTAGAGGATTCTATCCTTTGCAAACACATAAGCAGATGATACCTATGATATATTCTAGCACACCTCTGAAAGGAGGAGCTTAAACGTGTCATTTCAGAGGAGGAATGAGGGAAGATCCTCTGTATTACTGCTTACAGAAGGTTTTAGTGGAAAGTCCAAAAGACTGAAGTTCACTTTTCAGCCACACCCTGTGGGCCTCTGTGCTAAGAAAAGCTCAGACTGCCTCAACAATGCCAGATGATATGAGCTCTGGAAATTATTTTTCCCTACTCAGCATTGTATCATATATGCAAATGCCAAATATTTTAAAAGTCATTACTTTCACATGCATGCACATTTGTTCAGAGGGGAGTTTTTTTCCCATGAGTTCAACTGAACTAGTGCTTTCCATCTAAATACTCCAACATACAGTTGTAAACAGATACTCAATTTTACAAATATACTTGGAACTCAGAGCCTCTTAGCACCATAAAGGCTAAGCCATCTACTTAATCTTTCTTCTCCTTCAAAACTGTCAAAAATTGCTTTGTGAACACCAGTGAGATCACACTCTTAACGAAGAGGCCCTGGAGGTATTTCCAGAGGTGCTGAATTGAGCTGAGAAAGGAGACTCATGCAATTTTATGAGCTTTCTGTTGAATTGCCAGGAGCGTGTCCTCTCTTGTTGTCCTTGCAGCCTTCCCCTCACCCAGACCGTTGCTTAAATCATCTGGATAATATCCTTAAGGCAGGGATTAATACAGCTTTCTCCAAATTAATACATATCTACAGATACGCATTTAGGAATAGGCACATAGAGATTAGGTGTTAAGTTTACTGTCATGCCATAAACTTGGCCTCATACTTAGTGAAAGGGGCTCAGGTTGTGAAAATCCTTGCCAAAATGAAGAGAGGTACTAAAATATGATCGGTTCTGGAAAGAGTGATTTAACAGAAGACAACAGCTGCCAGCATGATTAATTTGTGAAGTTACTGAATTACACTTGAATTCACTTGAGGGATATACGTGCAGGTGTAGCTGTGTGCTATCAAGTGAAGAACTGTCATGCACAGAAAAAGAGTCCAGTTTTGTATCCAAATCTATTTTTGTTTTCAGTCAGGCATGACAGTCAGGTTTTCCACTTACTGAAAGATATCAGCTGCTTATTATCAGAAACTGTAAACTTCAGCTAAGAGAAAGGTTTCCAAGAAACCTTACTGCTTGGAAAGTGCCTATCTTTTATATCAAACCATCATCACACATAGCCGGGATACAAAGTTTACTCCCTGTTAAGTAGTAGGCAGGAGTCAAGATTACTCTTTTTAGCTCTTCTGGTATCAAGTAGTCTTGTAGAAAGGCAGGCCTCATCCCATGTTCCCTAAGAACATACTCTCACCAGTGAAAGTGCACAGAGTCCCACTTTAGGCACAGCAGAGTCCATCCTTCTTTCTCTACTGCTGAAGCCCTCCCATCTATTTACCTGCAGCACTAGTGACTATGAAATCTCTACATATAAACCCCTTCATATGTTGGTGCACACATTCTTAACCATTCATGTCATCATGATACTCTTATCAGGTAAGATGGGTTGATCTTCAGAGCAGGAATTAGTGGCAGAACCCATGTAACAGACTACTATCAAATTCCACAGTAATTGTGTCTATGAATGTCTGTGACAAGCTGAGCATAAAAAAAATGGAGATGTTCTGGTCCTGAAAACAACCAGCTCATTGCTTACACAGGTTCTTGCATCTGCAGGAAATTCAGTGTTGCTACCCTCAACATATATCTTTAAGCCATGTCAGGTATAGTTTGTCCGTTGTATTATACATCAGGAAGGGCAGCAGGGAAGGAAACACATCCTTTTATACAGTGTACAGCAGTGCCCTCCTAGAAATGCAGGCAAATACCGGTTCACTCTGCCTGTCAGAATTGTTAGCACTCGTCTGCCAATTGTGCCAACTTGGAGCACATAAGTTCTTTGGAGCTGGGTTGCACCTGGCTTGCTTGGACTACAGCTTGCATGAGCTGAGGGGTTGTCTGAAAAGTGCCACGTAGATAGACCCTCAAGTCAGTCTGTGAGTCAAATAAGGGCCAGTGAGATCACAAAAGCAATAGGAAGCTTCAGGAGCACATCTGGAAAAGCAGTGCTTGGAGTAAACTACAGCATTTAAAGGTTCAAAGTAAAGAAAAACAACAACAATAACAAACAAACAAACAAACAAAACCCAGATGAAAACTGAACCCCCTAACACAACAAGCAGAAGCTCAGTAGAACAAGGCTGTGGAGCACTGTTTTATGGACACCCCTCAGGAAACAGTACAAAAGCACTGTTAAGCATCTGGTAAGTTACTGGTGCTAAAGGAGCTTTCTGAAAACACTGATAGATTTTCCTTTCTGTGCACTTGGTTTCACCTCTCTGCTTTGCCACATGCTGTATATAATGTTACTTATAGTGCATTTGGAAACGGTATTTTAGTCTGAAAAAATATGGCTTTGTTTATAGCCTGGAAGTAATTTTCTATTTGTCTGCAGTAATGCATGTGCTATCCTTAAAGCTTTGATTCCTTTTTTTACCCCCATTATTGTGACTGTATTTTTTTATAAAGCATCTGTGGCATCACATTGAACTCTTGCTGAGGCTATACTGGAAGAGCAAAGATATAGCAGAATATAAGCACCCATGTATTTAACTGTGCTAGTTGTGGGCAATTTGGTATATTTTTATTTCTTGTTACTACTGTTTGATTTTTCTTTCCCCTGGAAAATGCTGGTGGCTGGTTTTGCCTAGGTAGTCTAGTTACTCTGATGTAAAAATAACATACTGAATTTGGGAAAAGTAACTAGCTCTTGGTAATTCTAACACATAGAATATAAAGTACCTGAAACTGCAGCATGTGGGAACTCTCACAAAAATGATACTTGCTGTGTTCTCCAATGTTCAAAGCTCACTAAAAAACCCAACCAAACAAACAAACAAAAAAACCCAGAAAACTAGAGTGGGCACTGTAAAAAAAATCAAGCAGAATATAGAAGTAGTAAATTTAAGACTAGCTTCCTATATACACAGTATATCACTATGTCAGACTAGAAGGAATATACCATATCTCTGCTACCACATCCTGCTCTGAAAGAATTACATTTGCCAGATGTCCAACATCTATAGCTCTAGACTGAGATGTGGTCTGAGCATTATAGCTCACAGAGTGGTGTAATTATCAGAAAATAATAAGATTAAGAACAAACATCATGATTAACTGAGAGAGAGCTCTTGTTCAAAATTAAGAACCCTGAAACCATAAGGGAAACTGCACTTTTAGTATTGCCAAACAAACCAGAACCCAAAACCTCTTGGTGCTACCAAAGGAAATGTCTCTGTAATAACACAGCTGGTTACATGATACTACGGAAGTTTCAAGCATGATATGAGTTTCATAAACTGATAAAGTAGAGAATATAGAATTTAGTTGCAGTTGGCAATACCGTTCTGGATTACCAATGGTACCTGAAAAGCACTGAAATGTTAGAAGCTGTCAGAATTAAGGTTGTGCTTAATCAATGAATTAATTGTAGCTTGAGTGTAGCATCTCTACAATCATTGCTTGTACAACCAAGTACTTTGGTCCAGCTTTCTGTGTCTTCTTCCATATGTAGAAAGGACATTTCTCACAGAGTAAGGAGCGTGCCAATACTTTGCTTTACTCTCATTTTCTATACATCTGCAAATTTTGCAATAAATAAGACATATTTATTGAGCTATTTAATATTAATTAAGAATTATTAATAAAACAATATTGATAAATAGTCTATCGATAAATAAATATTCCTATTTATTCAGCTGTGCCTTTCACAACAAAACATATCCTTCCTTCACACTGAACACGGCAAAGATCCCATGGAAAATAGTAATTTGAAGTCATTAGAGATTGTATCATAAGATAAAAATATAAGGAAAAAATTTTTATGGATGTCCTTAATTTTGATATATCTTAAATGTTGGGGGCTTCACTGTACTACCTTTAACTACTGGAGTTTGGTTTTTTAAGTGGTGAGTAGCAATTTTGATGAAGGTTCAGTATTTTGATAGCTGACCTATTTTAATAATTTCCATCTCCATCCTTTATTTCCCTACAGTATTTTTCTGTGACTCCCTATATACTTATTATTTAGTAAAACTGCTATGATAAAATAATAGACCAATTTAAAGATAAAAAATTAAGATCTCTGAAAAGTGTGACCTATCTATTTTTCCTAATTAACTACTCTTCCTGGAAGACAAAGAATACCTATATTAATAATACAAGAGGCAGATGCTATGTGAATACTTGAGGGGATTATATGGAGGAACTTAATGTGGTAGTAAAGGAATCTGCTGAATAGACACCCTCAAAGAAGGGAAAAAACATGATGTACAAATTTATGAGCAATAAAATTTGAGCTAATGATGTACTCCAAAGGATCATTCAATATCATTAAAAATTAAAGTGCTTTTAGAGCCAAATGTTCAAGCAATTAAATGCCTAAATCATGAATGAACTTTTATTAATAACAAGGATCAATTATAGCTCATGGAAATTTAGGAGGAAAGGAAACACAGTTAACAAACTACCTATCCTGAAATGAAAATGCAAATGGCACAATGCCTGAAGTCCTAGAATCACAGTTGGCATCAAACAAGAGAGTCATAAATAATACAGAGTTCACATACTTGATGAAACTACATCTTGAGCATACTTGCTATCTCTGTGTCACACAGCACACTGACTTTCCGCCAGTATCCCCTGGCAAAATAAAATCTCTCTAGCATGTTCAGCATATAAATCTCTTGTCCTTATAATGGAAAATTCTAGCCAAATGTAAATGGAACAAAGACAGTATAGGCAAAAATAGGGATAAAACACAACGCTTAAATATTTTCAAGCAATGATATTCATTGTCACTGCTGTCAGCTGTAGTGGTAATTTTGTAGAAACAAGCAATCTCTGTCTAGCCCACGTATATGGTGTTAAATATTCTAGTTTAGATGAGAAAGTTTTTGAAAAGAATCTCACCATCATTATGACAAAAAATCTCTTCTGTATTATTTGGTCTCTTACATGGACAAAGGATTTTCCCTGTGTGCGCTCATTCAAACAGATCTGGGAAATGAATGCATTTCCAATAGTGTAGCACTGAGTACTCAGCTGGAAGGTTACATGATCCACCCTTTGCAATTGCATCAGGTCATGTAGCCCAGTGTAGGAAATCATGTTCCCCTTGTATCACCAGGCAGAGAGAGCAGAGCCCTTATGTCCTTATAAACAACAAAAGATGGTGTCCCTACCCTTGGGGCAATCCTTCCTGAGCTTTCTGGCAATCCTTCCTGAGCTGTCCAAGCAGGTTACAGAAGAAACCTGTTGAGATGTCTGAGCTACCTCCTTCCGTCCTTGTCTCCCTCCCTCACTCCATCCTCAAAAGGCAGAAAGGGATAGGAGGGCTGATTTGTTTTTGTTTTTTTTTTTTAACTAATGGGCTGTCTTTCCTTACAATTGAAGAAGAAGAAAAGCACACAGTCCTTTGTGGCACAGAATTTTGAATAAATGTACCTATAACTAATAACAGTATTACTTATACATGTTTATTATTTACAGTAACTATGATCAGAACCTGTTAGTATTACGCCCTTAAAAGTGCTAGACTAGCAATATTCCTGTTCAAAAAGAAAAGCTTTTAACCCTACAGAAATCACATGTATGGGGAAGCACACTCTTGCCAAGGGTTAATCTCCCTTCAGGTTCTACTAGCATTTGGCTGTTAATTTTTCAATCTTTTTGGGTCCTTCCCAGTCTAACCACATTTAGCCCAGTTTATCTGGTCAATTCGCACCACACTCTGGGCACACAGAAGCTGCCCATTAACTCACCTTCATGAAGAAGCCAGAGTACCTGAGAACCTAACAAAAGTCAACACATGTATATTGCAACTGTCTTCCACTCACTTTCTCCATACTTTCTGCAAAACTCTGACCAGCTTTGGTTTCATTAGCATGACTGGGAAGAGTTATGTCCTTCTTTAGGGTAGTATTTTGTCAGAAACGTGGTGAAACAAGATTCACTAATTGTAAGAGTATGGTCATCAGAAGACCCGTGTTTTATGGTTTCTTGTGAGAGAACAAAGACAAGTCACTTAATCTTTTGTTCGGAGACTCTCAAATGCATCTGACAGGAACAGCATGACAAGGCTGAACCACAAAGGTAGTTTGCCACCCAGTGAAAACTTCAACGCAATTTGGCATCAGCTCTTTTAGGTAAGTAATTTACGAAGGGATCCTTATAAGACAGATAGGTAGTGGCATAAGCTAGTCAGGAGTGAAAGGTTGAGTAAAGACATAGTCTAGCGCTTAGGTAATGTGTCTGATATGGCTGGCCAGAGGAAGAGTGACATCCTGAGCACAGGATGCTTCACGTTGGAGGCATGGCACCATTAGCAGAAATTTGTCACCATTTCTTCTGGTTAAAAGCTAATGTATGGAAGTGTATTTTTGCATGTGGCTAAGTGGCAGCTGTTTTGATGTTTTGGAAATATCACTGATTCTTGAATTGTGAGTCACAGAATCATGTAGGTTGGAAGAGCCATTTGTACATTACCTGATCAGAAGGTTGCTCAAGGTCCAGCTCAGTCATATTATGAAAATTTCCAAGGATAGATATTTCCTCTCTGCATATCCATACCAAATTTTATTCACCTTCATGGTGAAATATTCTTTTCCTTACATCTAATGAGATTTTTTTTTTTCTTCTGACTTGTATTCATCACTTCTTGTCCTATTGTTGTATATTTTCAAGAAGAATCTGGCTGTTCCTTCCCTATAACCTTCAATTAAATAGTAGCTATAAGAGCTCTCCTTTACTCTTCCCTCTTTAGGTTGAAAAAGAGTTACTCTCAGGCCCCTATGCTTGTGGAGCATACTCATGCTAGTGTGTCCTCATCTGTCTTAAAATGGAAAGTTCAAAACTTCCCTTTTACTGCAAAGTTTCTGCCTAAGCAGTCATCCCATGTCTGTAATATTGCATGAGGCTTTTATCTCCTTTTCCATTTGCTTTTGTTGAACTTCATACTGTTCCTGTCAGCTTCCTTCCACAGCCTGGTCAGGTCCCCCTTAATAGCAGCGCTGCCCTTTAGTGTATGGGCCACTCTTTCCATTTTGGTATTGTCAGCAAACCTGAAATATGCCATTAGCACTCACTGTTAATATTTGCAGGAAGGGAGAAAACTGGTGAACTAAGTCCTGACTTTGCTCTGTTTATCAGCTCCCAAACATAATTTGAGGAAGCAATATTAGTCTATATCCTTAATCTAACTGGAACAGTCCAATTACCACTGAAAACAAAAGAAAAGGCAATTTTAGAATAAGCTTGTATTCTCAAATGTATTTAGGTGAATAATCACATTTTTTCTTGGCTATCTTACATTAACACTGCTATAGACGATTTTTTTCCCAGAGGACTTTAAAATTATCTTTCCTTTAAAAAAAATATGTGTCTTTTCAAATTAAATAGAAATAATTTGAATGTTAACTTAAAGGTATTTTGTGTTCATTTTTATTATTATAATTTAAATTACTGTGGGATAGTATATATTATTTTTCTATACTTTGAAAAACAGAAAGTATCATAAATAACCTATTGACAGTGTGTATTTTTCATGTTACGTATTTTAGGCACTACCTTGAAGAATGCTTGACTGAGCCAGCTGCACTAAAAAATAATTAAAATAGTAGAATTGCTTGGATTGGAAGGGACCTTAGAAATGATCTAGTTAATGCATTTGAAAATACATTTGCAAACAGTAAGAAATTGTGCAACATACAAGATAATAGGTGGAAAGAAACACCTGGAAGCAAGCTGAGGAAACCTTCATTAGTCTTCCTGATAAATGACTAATGTCAGAAATCAAGCAAGACTTCTGCTCAAATACCTTCAAATACTTTAAATTTGTGAGGGTCCATTCAGATAAATTCTTACATTTAATCAAAAGGAATAAAAAAACACTCTGGGATTTGTGTAGTTACTTTTCTGTTGGGAATGTCACGAACAACAGTGGTGCCTATTACATGGTCTGTATTATTGGAAACACAAGGAAACCAAAGTCTATGTTTTACCTTTGAACAATGCACACAACTCAGGATGGTAAGCACGCCTATCAGAAATCAAGGCTAATTATTGTCTTAAAATCAAGCAGCACATGATCTTGTTTTGCTGGAGCTTCAGTGAAGAAAATGAGAAGAAGCTTCCTGCTATCTGTAAGATTCTCTGAAAGCACAGCCTGCAGAGCACCGGTCAGGGTGGTGCAGTCCCCCTCTGCTCACATTGACTGCAGGCAGATTCCCTACAAAGGAGATTTGATACCCTCACTCTAACCAGCAGCTGTGTTATATTGCTTTTTGTACAAGGGCGTGTAGTGATAGAACAAGAGGGAATGGCTTTAAATTGAAAGAGGGTAGGTTTAGAGTAGATAGTAGGAAGAAATTCTTGACTGTGAGGGTGGTGGGACAGTAGAACAGGTTGCCTAGAGAAGTTCTGGATGGCCCATTCCTGGAAGTGTGCAGGGCCAAGGTTGGATGGGGCTTTGAACAACATAGTCCAACAGGTGTCCCTGCCCATGGCAGGGGGATTGTAACTAGATGATCTTTAAGGTTCCTTCCAAACCTAACCATTATGTGATTCTATGATTCATTTTCTACAAGTAAATTCTTCTCAAGTGTCTATGATGTTTTGTCATGGTTTTGTTAGTGTTTATATATATTTTTATATTGAAGTTAGATTTTTTTTTTTAAACAAAGAAACTTACAAAAGACATCTCCTCTAAGGCTTTGCTCATCATCAATTTGATTCTCAAAGTCTTCCTTCGCCTCTTCATCTGACTCTTCTGCCTCCTCTTCTGTAGTAGCTTCAATTTCTTTCTCTTCCTCACTGTAGCTCCCACCAAGCTCAATACCACCTTCATAGTCCAATAACTGCAAGTGGGTCTTAGAAGGCGATGTCACCGCTGCCTCTGGGATCACATTCTTGATCGTGTCATGCTTTTTCACACTATTTTTATGTGCAAGAAGTTTCTTAATTGTGTCTTTAGCTGTTCCAGGGATTCTTGCAATTTCCTTCACTGACTTTTCAGGGATAACTAGAACCAAGAATAAAATAGTGAATATTAATCTAGGCAATCATTCAGCAATGAGACCATTTTTAAATAGGACCATGATGTCCTTTACAGTGTCTGGAGACCCATATAGCTAAATTCTCTACTATGAGATACAAGTTCGGCTCTGCACAGAACTGAACACGTGCACGTGTTCAGCTCTTTATGTGTTGTGTAGACAGCTCTGTCTGAGTTACAGTGTAGAAAACCAAAGCGATCCTCTGTCATGAGTGCCTTGGACTCCTGTGTAACACAGGACGTTACAGCCCCTTACATTAATTATCTTTACACTGAAGCTTGTGTTAAAAAAAAAAAAATCCTGCTTCAAATTATGAACTACTAAAAATTGTCTATGGAGGTGAGATTCCCTGCACAACTATCAGCTTACTAGTAATAAGCCTATTTCTTTTGTGAACTTTTCTTTTTGTGAACATATTTCTTTTGTGAACTTTTCTGGCCTAATTTTCCTTCTGTGATAGGCTGAAAGCCACTGAAATAGAGTGTATTTTGAGAAGACATACATCAAGGTGCTCCATCGTATTTCATCTAGCTCTAAGGGGTATTTTGTTGTAAGGCGTAAACCACAAAATTCAGAGAGGCATCCAAGAATGGCAAATTGTTATCGTCTTGCAATTCCAAGATGGAGTAGAACATAAATGTAAAATTTCCTTAGATTTTTACTATTTTATGATTTCTTTTGGCTATGAAATACTATAGGTTAACCTTTTGATGATCTGGTGTTATCCTTTTAGTTATCCTGATATTATCCTTTTGGATAATACTAACTGTGGGGAACTAACTATGTTTTTGAATAACCATTCTTGTAGTATCTTGCAGCTTTGGATCCTGCTCAAAAACACAAGGGCTGCCAGAGGTGAAAACTAAAGAGTAGGATAAAAGTCAATCAAGATTCTTCAAATCTGCAAAACAAAAGAAAATTCTGAATTTGGAGTTTTACCTATTATGAAGTATAATGAAATCCATAAAGTCTATATTCAGGCACAAACTTCAAAACATTAACTGATAAGAGGACATTTTTACATTTACATGGCAGCTCTGATTTTCTAATCATGCTTTCCTTGTCAATGCATTGAGTTTCAGGACACAAGCCATTTATTTCTTTTAGAATTCAAAATTTTTTTTCTCTACAATCATTAAACTATGTTTGGATGCTTGAATGAGGGACGTTTTTCATCGGAATGCATTTGAAGTTGAATTTCTAGGCATGTGGGGGGGCAGGATTGATTTTGCACCGGTGGTGGGACCTAGTAGCAGAACAAAGGGCTCCTTTGAGACAGTATGGTGGGCAGCTGTTCTCCATGTTCTCTTGAGATAGAAAAATTATCAGTTTACATGAAACAAGATATTTTAGTTACGTATTATGAAAAGCTTGCTTACTATCCTTGCTTTAGGATAGTGAAACACAGGAGCAAGCCTCTTGGGTTATTTGAACTGTATCACTACAAGTTAGAAAATTGTTAGGCTACCATCTGTCATTAATATGCTGGATATGATCTGCCTCAGAGCAAAAGAACAGCCTAACTGATCTTTTTTAGTCCCTTCCAGATGTACTCTTCTCTCATCTGACAAAGACTGATGGCTCTTTGTGCTCATGGCCAAATCATAACGGAGGGTTAAAGCCAGGAGTACTTTGGATAAGTTTTTTCAAGGTATGTGTACAGTACAAAGCAAATTCAAATGGGAAATTATGGCAATACTGCAGGTGTTGCCTTTAATCAGCAACATCAGTTGCTGCTCAGCATCAGTCAAGAACACCACTGTGCCAAAATAAGATCTGAAAGGGTGTGGCAAGTATGCAAGTTTCAGAGAAGACATTAATCTGAGGAGTCCTAGTTTATGAGATGATCACATCCCATCATAAGTTCATCATAAGACAATGGGGCTTTTGAAACAACTGAATTTCCTTACTGCTATGACATGACCAACTCAGTCCTCTAGTGCTGGGCACAGCCTGAATCTGAGTGGGTGAGGAAGAAGAACTGGTAATTAGGAAAGAATTAATGTGTCATAAGCTATTGACAGCCTTCTGTAGTTTGAGTCCTGTACGTGAAGTACCTAGGAAACAATCAGAGTTGAGCAGTTCCAGGGTGCTGTACAAAAGCTCTTCCATAGAGAGAGACTATTTCTACCGGTGGGCCTTATATACTGCTTTCTGTCTTTAATCCTTGATCAGCATTGATGCTGCAGTACCTACAATCTTTTTGCGTTGAAAATAATTGGGGAAGTCAGCTATTTTTATTTCCCTCTGCTTTTGCTGTCTAGTGATTTTATTAATAAAACATGAATATGGTCCTATTTTGCTCCATGCTGTATAATAATGAAAACTTCATAGTAGTGTTTTGGGACAGATGTACAGGACTTGTAACCTGGGGTAGTACTTTTTTTTCTGTGTGTTTCTTTTCATAGAGACATAGCAGAATTAAAAACACCAGCTAATAAAACATAATTGTGGACTAGTAAGAAAAGGGGAAAATTCTCTGAATTTATGTTCACTCCTGGAAAACAGAATACCATTGTTGTGAATTCATCACATTTTATTTATGGGAATTGCAGCTACATGCTATCTAGTATCTCAGGAACAGAATCAGACTCTCTTGATGTGCTCATTGGAGCATTCAGGGTTTTTTGGAAGTTGCAGTTGGAGTAAATGGATGCCAATAAAACCAGAAACTGAAGATTTTTTTTCTTTGGATAAAACTTGCAGCCTTGCTTGTTAAAATACTTGCAAGTAAACTCTTTACTAATATTCCACTAAATGTCCTCTGGAGGATGATGTCATGAAGGATGTAAGATTTTCTGGGCCTAAACTCAGAATGTAGCAATATAATTAACAGGAAAGCTTAATTCCAAACAAATTTCCTCTTGACAATCAGTAACAAGAAACTTCACACTATTAATAAAGGCTATGGGGATTTTCAAAGCAGGGCTGACTGCTCAGCAAACCTGAACATCTGCTTTTAGTTTCTGCTTTGAAGTCTTCCTTGTGAAATTATAAATTCTTACAGCTCAACATAATAACCTCTGTGGTGTCAGAAAACCAATCTCCCTGTATGTGAAAATTTAGGAAGTACAGAAAATCAAATGATGGGAGTGGCAAAAACAGGTAGATGAAAATATCTGAATTCCCATGTGCTTGCAGACTCCAGTTTGCTGCTGCACTACAAAAATCTGCTCATGGAGACAAAAGGGACGAGACAAGAAGCACATTTTAGGACATACTAGTAGTCCCCTTCTTATCTGCAATCAGCTGTAGAGTAGCTGGAAATGTGCTTTTAAGGTTTTTTATGTCTACACATACATTACAGGAGGAATAATTCAGTGTAAGGACACCTCACCTTAAAGTCAGTCTGTTCTTTTGAATTCACTGCTTGTGGACTTGCCTGAATGAGCAACTCACCACCTCTGGCAATTGGGGCTGAGGCAGTGATTCTTCAGGGCCCTTTGCCCCAGGACATGAATGTAGAGGTGTTGGTCACAAATATTTGAGCATGTGACTGCATAGAGAACTTTGGAAAGTGAAAATAAATGTAGTGCGTTTCATCCCAACTCTTCCTTGTGTACCTTCAATCAGGAAGCATGCAGATTAATGCCTTCTGCTCCTGCAGTTTGTGTTTGTTGCCCTAACATGAAAATATCTCAATTTTCAAAGGATTTTTCTTTCTTTGAATTAGAGAGAATTAAAGCAAGAGGTAGAAAAACAAAGGCAAATGGTGGCTGGGGGATAAAGGTAAATCTTTTCTTTCATCAGTTGCTGTACAAGATTATAAAACCATGGAAATATATTGGTACAGGATGCCTAATGACCAAGTTGCGAAAGTTGAGCTGAAAAAAATAGAGAGCAGATGCCAACCCCTTGACTCTGTGCTGCATTGTATAAAGGGAAGTACTCAGGGGATGATACAGGAGAGGGACAGACAGTGATCCATTTTCCTTCCACACGCCCTGTGACCACAGCCAGTACTGGCCAGGGCTCTGAGCGTACAGGGGATGCAGAAGGACACAGCCTCCTCGGTACTCCAGCAGGCTCCCCACTGCTTCCACCTGCACACCTAGCAATATATTTAAAAACCTGGTGAGAGACAAGCCTAGGAAAGTAGCTTACAAATCCTTTTGTAGCTCCCGTTGTGGCTTTGGAGAGGTGATGAGGGATACAGACAACCCTTTACCATATTTAGGCACAGTTATACATAGGAGTAAAGATTAGATCAGCGCAACACAGTTTCAGAAATCTTTCTAAAAGTTCTCAGCCTCTTTTAAACAGTCTTAAGAGAGTCTGAAAGCTTTCATAGGTTAAAACACAGATTGTGGACTATTATTCTCTTTTAAGCACCATGGAACATCATCTACCAATATGTATTCCTGCCCCATTTCATTTCTAAAATTTTTACTGTCTTATTTACTTTCAGCTTCAGTAAAGCCAAAGCTTTTCTACAATTGCCATGTGACATGGAGAACACTTAATGTTTCAGCATACTGGTTGGTACACTGGTACATCCAATTGGTGTTTGTGTTACTGTTTGAAAAAACATTTTCCCCAATAGCAAGACACATGCCCTGCCCTCATCAGTTATACTGGTCAGACTTTTTTGAGAATTGCAGTAAAAATTTTTACTGTCTTATTTATACTTGAGAAAGCAGGGCAAATTCATCACACTGGACTGGCTTAATACTTGAGTACACCGGCCAGCAATGCTTCCAGTAGGAAATATGTGATGGCAAAAGCCTAAGTGTTATTCATTAAAGGATAGCAGCAGTATTTGACTTCATACTGAACTGAACTGTAAGAATATCACCAGTGATATAACCATGATTACTTCTGAAGCTTTGAAACTTTATTATGTCAAACTCAATGTTTCTCAGAACTGGCAAGTTAATAAAAAAGCTAAATCATATATGGGATTTGAGGGTTACCCTATCAGCAAAAAATGAGTGAGTAATACAAGAGGCACAGAGAGAGCTGGCCTGAAATTGTATTGACATTCAGATATCCAGCAAAACATAATGAAGAGCAGTAACCCCTGCCTCCAGCCCAGCAATAAGAAGAGTGTCACTGTTGAGCTCCTTAGAGTGATGCCTGAAGGTTGTAGAGAAAGTTAGTAATCCTTTTTCCTGTTATTTTGTAGTACTAAAAAAAGTGAATCAAAAATAGGTTCATTTTTTCTGCAGGAATCTTAACTGCTTATGGAACCTTGTGAGACTGTATTCTTAAATAAAAGCTGAAATATGAATAGTAGTATGTGGCAGGGGAAATGTGGTTTTTCAATGCACAATGGGAAATCAGGAAACACATGAACCTGAGAGGAGCAACAGATTGCAGCAAGGGAGAGACCAGATGTGGAAATGGCTAGGACCTTTTTAGGGATCATTCAAAAGGTTACATCTCTATGGATTCTCAAATGAAATAGGCTAGAGACAGTTCAGAAACAGCCTCTAGTGTTTCATGCATATTAGGAGTGTTAAATGGCAAAAAGGTGCCTGAAAAATCACAGGTCATATCCATACCAGCAGTAGTATTTGCTGTCTAATGTTTCAACTTTTTTCTAAGTTAGCATATTGACATACAAATTGAATGAAAGAATTTACCCCACCTTGTGTGCAAAGGTGATTATATATTACCTCACTTATTAGGTTATTTGGTGGCATGAGGAGATGTAGCCATAGGCATTTCATTATAAACAATATACTTAGTTACTCTCTTTTCATACTCCAAAAATTAAGCTATATATTAAAATATTTTTCATTTGTTATAAAAAACAAATACTGCTGCCATGGTAGCCAATTTGTTATATATGAGAGGCAATTGCTACAAAGCATTAATGCTTCCCCATGAAAACAGGATTGCAGCCCTGTGGGGATACTTACGTGGAGTACTGAGGACATATTTAAGAAGCCTTTTGTTTAACTGCAGCACAACCCCAGGCCCATCTGATGAGAGCTAGGATGGGACACAGAAGCTGTAGCTGCTGTCAGCAAAAGAAGTGTGAAGCCCCCCAAAAAGCCCCTAATTCCCCAGGATGGTGTCCCCATCCTATTAAATCCAAAGTAAAACTTTCAGCTTCAGTAAAGCCAAAGCTTTTCTACAATTGCCATATGACGTGGAGAACACTTAATGTTTCAGGGTACTGTTTGGTACACGGGTACATCCAATTGGTGTTTATGTTATGTTATGTTATGTTGGAAAAAACATTTTTCCCAATAGCAAGACACGTGTCCTGCCCTCATCAGTTATTCTGGTCAGACTTTTTTGAGGATTGCAGTAAAAATCAACTATTGAAACATTCAAGGCTAAAAGAATATCCTCCTCTTCCCTTTAAATAAAAGGTGTATGTGGGGGAATGCCCACGAGAGAAACCAGTCTCTCTTTAGCACCACTGATTTTCAGGTTTTACCCAGCATTGACTCTAGTATTTTTCTCCTCCTCAGTTGTTGTATATATCTGTCTGGCTAGACACTCACCTTTTGATCTTCTGCCTACGGCTGTGATTTCTCTCATTGCTATGTGTTATTCCTCTATCCTCTCTCATAGTAAATCACTTTTCCATCTAGTGTATTTTACTAAGTTTATGAATGCATGTCTCCTTCCTCTGCTAAGCGACTAATGGACTTCAGTAATTGGAAAGATGACATTAGGAAGTAGTTAGAGAGAGGGCAAATAACATAAGAGAAACATCAGTGAGAAGATAGGAATCACATGACTTCAGGACTGATTTTTTTACAGGGCTAGACAGTAAAAAACTGCCTCTACACAAGCAAAAATATTTCCATTGTTCATATTGAATTGTTTCTGTTTGAGGAAACCAAAAAGAGATTGGAAATTGTCAGCATCTTAATAAAAAGAAAACAAACAAACAAACAAACAAACAAATAATAATAATAATAATAATAAAAAAACAATCAAAAAACCAAAAACAAGTAATTTTGCTCAGAGATATATTTCATCAGTGGTACATTTTGTTTTAACAGAACCACGTCAAAATATGTCATGTCAGCTTGCTGTGGTGTTCATTCAGGTCTCAATCCCCCTTACTGTATCCTTCCATTGCAGTAAACTGCAGTGACATATCACAAGGGATGTGTTCTAGCAAGGAAACTGCCTCATGACATTGAATTTGGGCAAAAGAACCTTCTAAACAGCTCTGCTGTGGCAATCTATGTCCAAATCAAACCTTTTGGTACCAGTCAGGTTTTTATGTGTTTATTTTTGCTCATTAGAAATCAACATTTTTTACTAGAAATAGGAATTTAACAAAATGGTGTGATACTTGGAGCTGTCCTGTGCAGGGCTGGGAGCAGGACTGATGATCCTAGTGGGTCCCTTCCAACTCAGAAAATTCTGTGATTCTGTGAAAATACTAACTTATAAATATGTATTGGAAGTTTCAACTACTATCATAATGGGAGTAGGAACATGGATGACAGAGGGTCTCATAGAACATCTGTGAAATATAATCATAATACATTTCTGATCAAGGATTACTTGAGAAAGGCCCAGGAAGGTCTACATATATTATGTAGAGTTCATCTGCTATAGACAAAAACTGTTTTAAAGTTTGTACAGGACTCGGATGTCCTCCCTAGGAAAACATCTCTAATGGTGTTGCAGGAGAAACCTCTGCCAGGTTTAATAAAGGCATAAATGAAAAGGTTCATTTTAAATAGAAAGAAACGAACAGCCTTTCTTTCTTTCTTCTTGGAGGGTCATATTCAGTTAGAACTGGGCAATGACACCTTTATAAGAAGTCTTTAATATTCAGAAGAAAAAAAAGACAAAATTTCAAGGGAAAAGAGTTTAACACAGAAGTCACAGCTTTCCTCCCTTTTCTCATTTTTTGCTAAGTTAGCCTGGAACTCTTCTGGATGGAACTGCACAGCCCTCTAAAGGGCTAGCCTTGGGAGTTCATAGAAAACTCACAGTATGTTTTTAAAACTGTGTTCTCTGCTTCTTCATGACAAATTCTCTCCTCTGTTCTATTTGGTGACTCCTAGAGATACTATGAGACTTGGAGACTCATAGGCAAAAGTAACTTGAACAATTAATACCCATACTAACTAACCCATGACTCCTACAATTAATTGGGTTTTTTTGAGATGTCTTACTTAGTCGGTAATGCAGCACTGTTCAGCATGACATTTCCAAGAAAATGCCTTAGAATGATCAGTTGTTGGAGAAAAACAATATAGTGGTATTCCTGACACTCAGTGGTACTCACCAGCACAATCAAATCCAGTCCCTCGGTAGCCCTGTTTACATTTGCACTTGAAGGATCCCTCGGTGTTGAGGCACTCTGCATGGAGGTTACAGCTGTGTGTATTTGTCACACATTCATTCACATCTAGGGAGAGATATAAATACTTTAGTGAAATCCCAAGGTTCATGACAGCCTGTTTGTGCCAGCCATCTGTTTCCAGGTATTGTAAGCACTAACATTGGACCAAGACCACCCAGTGACCATCAGGGGCAGAAGAATTCACAGCAGGAGAGAATGCTGAGTGTCAGCTCCACATGCAGAGCTACTGGTATATGCATCCATGCAACACGTGGAACATCTCAGTAAAGACAAAGTGAATGTAGTGATTTTCTGACTGAGAACAGGATTCAAGCCATAGGTTGAACACAGAATGCAAAAGGCACCAAGAGAATGTGTGATATCAGTTAAAAAACAGCTCACCAAAACTTTCTCAGTCTTTCATTCACTGCAGAAGAAATGCAATGGAAAGAAAATCTGAGTATGCCAAGATATTAAGATCTTTAATTTACGTCTAACATGCCAGCATACTTATAATGCTGGATGAAAAAAAATAATCAAGAAAATTCAGTAGAAAATACTACGGTCAACTCACAGAAAAATGTACAAGCACCAAGAGTATTTGATTTTGTTCTTCTTTTTCCTTATTTTTCCCGATCACAAAGATGTTTCTGATTTCTCCCATGAGAGAGTGAAGTTGGTGCACAAATGTTTGCACCACTGGCCTTTTATCCAGATTGCATCATTTTTAGCAGCTGACAGGTCCTCTCATAATGTAAGTCAGCAAACAGACAAGTAGCAGGAAGACTGACTCAAAAATCTGGTATGTCTGAAAGCGAGACTTACGTTTGCAGATAAAATCCTGACTACTAAGACCTATCCAGTTTTTTCCCCATCCACACCTATTTTATGAGAAAATATTTTTTCTACCTTAAGACTCTCAGGGTTTGCAGACAACAAAGAATGAAAATTTAAGTCTCCGAACCTGCCTCATGATCTCCCTCCCACCCCTCAGTCAATATTAATCAAATATAAACAAAACTTATGAGTTCTGGTTTTTATGCACTTGTAGTAGTTCTAACCCTTCCAGGCCCTTATATAGTCAACAGCTTGAACAATGCCCCTGTGGCACCTGCTGCAGAAACTTATACTTTGCTGTTCTTCCATCATTCAACTAATGGATTGAAACAGGAGTAAAGGTGATTTGACATTTGTTTTGGCACCTGAGCATGTCAAGATAACTTTTGGCCTGTATTTATTTTGTTAGGGAGAAATTTGGCATGCAACAGAGACCTGAAAAGTAATTGAAACCTACTATTTTCACACACTTTTTTCCATGATCTGTACTGTCCATTCAAACAACTTGTTTTAAAATCATGGAGGCACTTGATTCACATTCTTCAATAATGTCACATAAAAAAAAAGAAAAAAAAGATTGTAGGGTTGCTTATTCATCACAGTTTGAAAGCCAAGACAACAAAACAGGGCTCTTTAACTAAACCTGTACAAGAAGTGTCATTTATTTTAGTCAACTGTTGCTAGCTTACTGCAGACTCTTGCACATCTTGACTTGGTACAATGAGGTGATTTAAATTGCGAGTGCCAGTGGCTACATTTTTCATAAGGCTACAGAGAAAACCCGGAGAAAAATTCAAAGTGTCATCAAGAATATCCTTAGGGTGACATCTTTTATCCATTTCTGAGGCAGTATCCTCAGGCTAGGCCAACATGCTCCAGGCAATGACGGGGAACATGAACAGTGTGGGAATAAAAAAGAACGAAGAAGGAAAATTCATGGGCTAACTCTTACCTACACAGTCATAATGGCCACTGATGTATTTCAGTTCATAACCAAGCTGGCACTTGCAGTAGTAGCTTCCAAAGGTGTTGACGCATCTGCGGTTGTAAGAGCAGAGAGCTTTGCCAGTGGAGCATTCATCAATGTCTAGAGCAGAAGGGATGCTGGTCAGATCCATGAGAAGGTAAAATGGGAAAGCAAGAACTAATTGGGATTTGCATGGGAATGGTTTGTTCTTGGCTATCACATGTTGTTTAATACATAACTCCTGTAATTTCATGCTTGGTGGTGGCTTTTGTCTTTTGCGTGTGTTCTGAATGAAGCAGCAAAATGTGAACTAAGTTCATGGAAGATTTTGAGACCTGAAATGATAAAATCTAGGGTAATTGGCAGTGTGGATTCTCCTCACTGGGGACAGTGATTTGCCCTAAGGTCTTGGAGCAGGCTCAGGAGGAAGTACACAAATTCCTTTATTTCCCAGAGAATGGAAATGTCAGAGAACAGTTTAAGAGAAAGTTCCAAGAACAGGATATTGAGAGCAGCAGCAGCAGCTCTTCTACTGAGCCTTTGCACCTCTCCTTGCTGGGCTAAGGCAAGACGTAACACCTTCCAGACTGTGAGTGATCTGTCCAGGAAGGCAGATGAGGGGGATAGTGAAGAAGGAAGCCTGTTATGGGAGGAGCCTAAGAACATGATATTCAGAAACCATTGTAATTTAATGCACTAATTTAAATTTGCTTCGTTGCTACACCAAATTTAAAATACTGACAGCTATGGTATTTGTCATTCCCTATCACATTTTAGCACATAGTAGTGACTTTGAGTGTAATTCATCATGTCACACTGCTGCCCTTTATGGCTTAGAACTGCTGTGATGCGCTGCTGGACACCATGGTCAGTCTTTTTATAATTTCTACCATTTGTTTCCATGCTTAGGTGATCAAAGGGAAGTGGACAACAATAGAAAAATATTTAAACAAACCTGTGCAGCTTTCTGAAGACAAAACATTGTATTTAATGGCCTCATAGCAATAAGGAGAAATTGAATCTGTTGATGACTCTAAATCATGTCAAAACATTCAATTAATTTTTGCAGATGAGACTTATCAGAATTACATGGCCAATAGTACAAGAAAAGTTATTAAAAAAAAAAAGGCATGAAAACTTTACATCACACTGTGATTAACAAGAAGAATTATTCAATCCAGCAAAGAGGATTAACTACTTCCTAACCTTCCCCCAGAATCTTTTGGTTTCAGGGATCCTGCAGAAAAGAGAGTGAGATCTCTAACCATACCAATGCATGTCCTTCCATTTGGTCCCAGCTGAAGGCCACCTGATGGACAGAGACACTGCACCTCCCCTTTGACTTCTTCACATCCATATTGACAATTCACCATGGCACATGTCCTAGAACCTGAAAACAGCATTTAAAATTACTAAAAGAGCAAAATTCTAGGCTAGGATCACACACTTAAGTTACATCTGAGTAAACACAGAAATTCTCCAGAACAACAAAATTCCATTCTGTATAAATAAAGCTGTCTATACATTAACTTATTAAAAATTCTGGAGTCCATGTGATAGATCTTACACTCGGATCTACTTTGTTCTTTCCTTATCCATCCTTATTCCTCTCTTTTTTGCTGATAGCAGTTCTGTGACTTTTTAATATCACCCTTTAGACTCAGAAAGAGAAATGAAAGGAAGAAATACCCATTTTTCAGGGATCTCAAGGCCCTGCAGCTGCTGTCTGCCAGTAATACACACCATGGTTAGTAATGCAATGGCATGAACCTGAGCTGTGATGTATAGATGGGAAATCCTCCAGAAGCTCTGGCCCCTGGGCACCTTTTGTGGCAATTTCAGTCTCCCTGCCATAAGTGAGAGAGAGTAGGAGCTCTGGTTTTCAGACCTGCTCTGCAGCTGCAGACCCTGTGCTCCTGCAAGTATTTGCCAAGGCTGGGTACTTTTACAATTATTCTGACTTGCCAGATGGGCACCCTGTCTGATGAATGGTCTTCTCCAAGATTTGGAGATCAAAGACTTTCTGAATTTATTGTTTTCTGTCATACTCATGTGAAAGACTGTGCTGTACCCCATACAGCCAGGTCCTTTGGTTTAGAACAGAGTTAAACAGATTGTTCCACTGCTCAGAAGAACTGTCTTCCATGTCCAACTGATGGATCTGCTCGAGTCCAGTGAACTCTATAAAGGCCTGTCACCATGTTACCTGGGTTTTGTGAAATTCAAAGCCAAAATACCTGTATGGAACTGCTCAGGTGAAGGAAAAAAAGGTAGTTTCTACAAACAAAACTTTGTGATTGAAAAACAAGATGCTTCCTCAGGCCTGAAAATCAGGTTGGCTAAAAAAGTAGAATGCTTTCCAGTTCATGGTGTCTTAAAGACAAAGAAGATAGGTAGAAATATCTATTTTCCCCAAAAGTTTAGATAAGTCTCAGCTCAATGAACAAATGTTTGCAAGAAGCTGACAGCAGCTATGGGAAGCATACCAACACAGATAAAATAAATCAGTCATGAGACACAGAAAGGTAAAGCAAGAATAATGGCATGTAAAAAGTAGCCTGTATTGGTGCTTTGCTTGGATAGATTCATTTATCCTTCTTCAGCAGGTGAACTGGCAGGACTATGCACCAAGATTGTACTAGCTGTCCTTCATCTGAAGTAGAACTATCAATGATTTTTAATTCTAGCAGGATTAAAACTCATCTGAACATCCAAATACAAGTATGATCTAGTTTACTTTATCCAGAAACTACCAAATAGAAAAGTCTCTTTCAGCTGCAGCAGTACCAGAGAGCTGGGGTAAAACCCCTATCCTGAATAAGCTAAATCTGTTCATCACAAGAAGAAAATCTGCTGGGATTAAATGTGATTAGATGATTTTGGTGTGCCTGTTCCATGAGCTTTATTACTTACTTGCACATGTGCCATCTGGCAGAAGCATGTACCCGTTGAGACAATAGCACTTGTAGCTGCCATGTGTATTCATACATCTGTGCTCACAGGGACGTGGCTTCAGTCCACATTCATTCAGATCTGCAGAAGTCATTGAAATTAAGTGAGTGCTGGGTTTTCTATACATATATTCATACATATAGGTGGATAATATTGCCTAATGCATTTGGTTCCCCGGAGTAAAATCGTTTGGATGGAAAATGAGCCAGCCCCTTGCAAAATGAGAGTTTAGCAGACCATCTGGCTGAAAGACTGCTAGTAAAACCAACATACACAGACTTCTACACTTGAAAAACTTATGTAAACTCTGGCCACATCTGGCAGCTTGTTAGGAAGAAGTGAAGTGGTGGAGAGACAATTTAATTACTCTCTTTTTATGAGTTATTTGTCTAGATTTCTCTGATTCTAGCTGGAGATTTTAGCCCTCCAGCTGACCTCTGTAGTAGAAAGGCAAAAATGAAACTGAGAACCACAAATGAGTTTAGGGGAAACAGACTTTTACTTTTGTTTTTCTGAGCTACACAGTGGTACCAAGGTTATCAGTAGCAGAAATTAAATACAATATACAATAAGAATTATGTGACCCTAAAAATAAAAGGCTGAATCTCAAAAATCTGAGAATAAAAGCATCCTAAATCTTTCTCAAAATCCTGGATGTAAAGGCTTTGCAGAAACTAACTCAATTTCAAATTTCCAATAGCTATTCTTCACAGGGAGAAAATGAGAATTCTAAAAAGTTTAATTTCTGTGGTATAGGGTGAGCAGTGTTCACAATGATATTTGGCCTATGACAAGGGGACAAAAATCTCTGTTTGTGACTTCTGTGAACTGACATCTCTACCTCTTCTAATGATGAGTAAACAGACGGAATGCATTAACAGAATGCACCAGCATATGAACCCCATTCAAGTGTTTACCAGAACATATGACCAAAATTATATATTCAGTAAAGATGCAGCTCTCCAGGCAAGGACTGAGTTTGTGTAGCTCCATTTCTAATCGGAGAAGCATCTGTTCTCGTGCCTATGTACCCTGCAGGCCACAGGGTCAGCCATTCAAAGCAAAAACTTTGTGGAGGTGCAGAACTGTTTGTTACAGCTCAGTCCAGGGAAGAAAGAGATTTTCTATTTCTAAAAGGCATTCTATTATTTAAATGTAGGGTGTGTTTGAAAAAGGGCAACCTATCTGCTAGCAAATCACACTGGATTTTTGTGCTACTGTGGCTCCACTAAATAACCAAGACTTTTTTAACAAAGCAACTAGGGAGCAAACTGGAGAACAAAAGTTATTCCACTTAGGCCATACATTTTCGAAAGTGCTTATCTGCACCTATCTCACACAATGCACTGATAGCATACACAGCTCTGAAAAAGAACCTATGGAGATAAGGCTAATTTGGCTCAGACTTGGTGGCAGACTAATACAGTCCCCTTATCTCTGTTATTTTAGTTAGCTCATGTTAAGCTTGCTCTGCAGGGCGTTCTGTGTAAGGACAGACCAAAGCAACATCTCCAGTGAATTAAAAGTAGGTATGAGCATTCCTGGCTGCTGGAATATGACCACCTATATGGCTATACCGTTGAAACATCTCTTGGACATTTCTAGACTGTGCCAGCCATCACTTTACTGCAAAAATCCCGGCTGTGCTTCAGAAGGTAGAAGAGCCCATGGACTAAGAGGTGATTTGCACATGTGGGTTTGTGTGGTGCTGCCACCCTGCCTCAGACTCTGAACCTACTGCAAGTGGCACCAAATGGATCTGATTGCCTACAAAGGGCATTTTAAATGCAGATGGAGTCACTGCACAGAGAACACCTAAAAACTGGGGGCTTCTCTATTGCTTTTTGGTAACATTTAAGCTGCCAAAAATTTTTGAAGGTAAACTTCTGGATTTAAAGGTGGAAGTTGTAAGTAATACCTACATATCTGTTACATAAAACTACAGCTGCTGTTTCCCTTTCCTCTCTAGAGGTACTGAGGAATTAAGTTCTTTCCCTGTGAAAAACATCAAAAGTGCAAAAGATGGAGTTTTCTAAACTACTTAACAATGTAGCTTTATGGTATATTGTTTGAAAGATACTGTGTAATAAACGGGTTGTTTTGACTATTAAAAAAATGTCTTTTTAGCACATCAATGCAAAATTTTCAAGCAAGGGCTGCAGGAGCTTGGTAGGGTAGCAAGGACAGACTGGTCCATTTGTGCTGTCTTTATGTCATGCTTCCATCATAGCACCTGCAGTTCACTCATCTGTGCTGCAGTAGGATGGACCTGCTCCTTTTGTCTGATCCAACACAGGGGTCTCATGTATTGGAACAGGAAAAAAAAAATTGAGTTCTTACCAATGTGTTAGCTGAAATATTTCTATGTTGAATTGCAAGTTTATGGAGGGAAAGTGGTGCATTTAAAGTTTCTGGAAATGCAATTCTAAAGACTCACAGTTCTGGTTCTCAGAAATACCTTTCAGCATTTGCAAACAGCCCAGGCAGATTGATAAATTACATGCCTAGCATATAATTGCATGTCTTTCTGATTAGAAAGTTAGTTAAAAAAGAAACATGGATTGCTAGTTGAGAAAATAACATGGGTTCTGGAATTGACTGCCATCTCTTCTGATAATTTCCTATATAATCTCTCCATGCCTTAATCCTTTGACTATAAACATGACAGTTTGCCCTTGTCATCAGCCTGTAGGACATACACAATATAGGTTCAAACTTCAGTCTGCTGAAGGAGACTTAAGGCTTTTACACCTCCAGCATCCCAGGCAAGCTCTAAGTTCTTAAGTTCTACGTAAACATGAAAATATCCTGGTTTACTACTTTGAAAGATGACGCAACCATAGTATAAGATAAGAAGACAGAAAATCAACAATCTACTTTCTGGAGCATGTGCACTAACCTTGATTACAGGTTTTCCCTGTAAATCCAGGAAAACATTTGCATTTGTTTGGTCCCATGCACTCGCCATACTTGCAACCGTGTCCACAGGTAGCTGGTGGAGTCAGGCAGAGAAAGGAGAGAGAAAAAGTTAGAAATATTCTATTTGAAAACTTTTGCCCTGCTTAGTTGCCTAAAAAGTTTTTACATAAGTTCAGCATCCTTCATACCTCTCCCTCCGTTTTTTAGCAGGTTTTTAAAGACCTGGAAAAGTAGGGATTACTTTTAGGTCTCTCCCTCATATTTTTTCATCCATGCTTACAACTCACATTTAGTAATTTTGTACTCTTGCATTTTTCCTGTTTTTAAGAAACCTGTGTGAGAAGCAGCTGGCCAGCAGCTTGACTTGCTAGGCTTGTCATCTGGAGTAGGAAAGTGGCAACAGACTCTTGAAGCCAAAGGAGACACATTATCCTACAGCAGTTTTACGGTCTTGGACATTCTCAGTTACAGCTGAGGAACATGTATATTCCATGGTGGAACATCCAGAGCACATCTGTCATGAGGCAACTGTCCTTACCACACATCCCAATAAGTATAATTGCATCTGGTTTGCAATAATTTAAGAGGACTATGCTTTACCTGGATGGATTAAAAAAGTAAAATCTTCTAACTCTCAGTCCTCTAGATCATCAATCAGAAATTAAACTGACTTTTATAAGGCTTAGAGGGCTCTTAAAGTTAATATGATTGTCAATGTGGGAGTTATTCAGGAAGAGCATTTAAATAATTTGAATGTATTTAAATATTTAAATAATTAAATGCATATAAATCAGGACTAGCTCTGTAAAAACAGTGAAGGAGTAAGCACCAGAATGCACATCTCGATACCTTGTGTAATTAAGCTGATCTGCAAACTATAGGAAAGTCACAGTGTTAATTACTATATAGCAAAATGAATAATTAAAATTCATACTTCTGAATTCAAGTATCTTCCCTACCTTTACAGAAGCATTCAGATGTATTGATCCACTGACTCTACAGACTGAGGCATTTTTCAGCACTGTTTCTATCCCTGAAGGCAATGTGGCACACTGCAAGACCAGCTTGTTCCCTGAGGAGATCCAAGACTGGAAAAGACCAGCTTGCAGTGCTAACACTTAAGCAGAGAACACTTCATCTGGATTTACAATACAGAATTGCAGTATAGGTGGCTTAAAGTAATTTGTCAGAGAAGAGTCCTCAAAGTTTATGAAAACCTATTGCTTTAAAACAAGACAATCTACTCCACTGGCTGATCAGAGCTGTATTTGCTGCTTGTCCCTCAATTTATTCATTTGCATAAAAACTAGGGTTTATTAAGGGTTATTAAGCCATGCAGAGATATGAAAATAATCCCTTTTTCCTTTTTTCAAATGCCACTATATATATAAAGCAGAGACATTTTATGATTTTCAGCAATGAATAACCCTAAGCCTCTATACAAATTCACCACATACAAAATGCCAAACCCTCTGGGACAACAGGTGCAACATCTGAAAAAGATTTCTAAAACATGTATTTTATGATTTTGTTGTATTTTGCCCAAGTACAGTTGAAGAGAAAGATTCCACATTGCCTTCTCCTTGGGATCTGTAGACTTTTTACAAATTAGAAATGTCTTAAGAGCCATTGTCTCTTCATTGAGCCAGTGATCCACAGACCAGAATGCTGGCGGGCTACCCCAGCCCAAGTCAGGCGCACCTATTGCTTGAGTTTTATTTATATTTTCAGAAAGTTAAAACTTCCTGGTTCTCAGAGGCTCTGTACTCTGAAGATAAAGGATACCAACTGATAGAAAACTATTTTAGGGGTCCTTATGTAGCATTGGAAACCACTGTGGTTTTGGTGCATACTCAACAGCTGTGACAGTATAGGCACTGATCAGGGCTGTGCAGGAGATTAGAACAGATGGTCCCTTCTGAATCTCAGAATCTCTGAATGTGCAGTTGAGGGTTTGTTATTATTTACCCAAAGCTCTGCGTTTTTTAGGAGACGGTCTTTCAAATATGTTTTATTTACTCTCCCACAGAGTTAAGAAATTTCACTCTTCAGAAGGTTTCTTTCTGTAACTTCTGACAGACATATATGAAATCCCTTTATAAGTATCAAGTACGCAGCCACAGAGAGGAAAAAGCATAAAGTTAATGTTACCTTCACAGTGGCCCTTGTTCTTTTTCCAGCCATAACAGCAATCCAACCTGGAACCATAGCGACACACCCCAGGCTGGCTCACAGCCACCAGCTGCCCACGAGCTCTCAAGCTGTGTAAGGAAGGACAAACACCAGCTTCATCAGCCAAATGCACTTTAGTTCATTCTCTGCATACTCCATTGCCCATTTCCCTTATGTTTCATCCCCTGTCAGGCATTTTCAATACATGCAAAGTCCCATTTGACTGGAGAAACAGGGGAGATGGGAATGATTCACCTGCAATAAATTAACTGTGCAACATAAACCCTTTCTAATAAGAAACACGGCAAAGGCAAAAAATACAGCCAGGTCTCCTGCTAGAATGAGTCATTTTTAATATCATTGAAGTCAATGGGGCTGCCTCAGTTTGCGCCACATGAACAACCTGGATCGAATATACGATGCCACACCTGACAGCGCTTTTGCATTGGATGATGAAATACTGATTCTACAGAAATGCATGTCCTGAACATCAGGCAGCCCCATAAAGCATAGTGACTTCCAGGCTCATAGTCACTGCATTCATGCAAATTGATTGCATAAGTGCAGACAGTCTTGAGCATTCTGGTTACACGGGACTGCCTGACCAGAATGTTAATTTCACCTGCCGATAAACCCAGGGGGTTCAAAGTCACTGCAGATTAACAACTGCAAGAGATGGAAAACCTGCCATGTTAGTTGCCAAAATTATAAATCTGATGCAATTCCACAACTGTTTAAATCTTCTAGATCTACTCTGTGCTGCAGCTAGTACTGTGGCTTTAGTTGTCTTCTCCCTCTGTTTGCTGTTAAGTTCTTCAATACCACATGCCTGTCTCCTTCATAAAATTCTTTTCTTTATCCAAAATCCTCTGTCCCCACTGCTTTTTCCAATCCATAATTTAAAATGTGCATTCTTCAAAAAGTCCAAAGTGTTGGTTTTGACACAGAATACACCTTATTGGTGGCAGCTTCATAGTAAGCGATTTGAGGTACTGAGGGGGCAATAGACAACAAAAAATACCTCATGGTGGGAAAAAGAAAGATGGCAAAAAGTAATCAGGCATGGAATTTTGTATTTTTTAGTCTGAGGTAAAGACATTGCTTTATCACATTACAGCAGCACTTTGCACTTCTCCTGTGCTTACCTATAAGGGTTGCACTTATATCAGAACAGTTACTGTAAACATCACTGAGGCAAACTAATAAAACAACTATATGCATACACTTCAAAGATACAATATATTACACCAGTGTTTTCTTTAGCAGCTGAACCATTGGAAAGAGAAGGGAGTTCAGAGGAAATGCATAAGCTCATGTACTTGAGATACTCTGAATGAAGAGATGGTCTTCATGTCACTGGGCAAGTAAAAAAGCCTCAGTGTTGGACTAAACTGTTCTGAAGTCACCCAACCTTTGCCATCAACCCTCTGCATCTGTAGACAATAAAATAACTTTTTTCCATTTTGTTCATCCAAATGCTGCTGGCTTAAATCACTTGCAAGTATACAAGTTAAAGAGCATATGTTCTGTTTGTAGGCTAGAAAGTGCCCTTGAGTTTACCTGGATAGTAAATGTACATTCCACTTCCATCCCAGAAAATCCCCTTAAATGCATCTGGATAGTGCTATGACTCCCATGAAAGGTTAAAATGCCTAAAGCTTGGAGGAAGAAGGATCTCATTCCTTTCCAAAAGGTGCACAGTTTCACAGAAAAAAATTCATTCAGTAATGTTTTATTTATTAATTCACTTCAAAATCAAATGACAATGTCTTTACGAAATATGCAATATATCTTAAGATTTTAGTACAAACTTCTCTTAAAACTGGAAATGTTTCCTAAAACCGCAGATGAAATTAACATAACTGTACTCTATAGATACTGCCCTGGACAAGGTCTTTCTTGTGTCCTGATTTCCACACTAAACACCAAGTTAAAACTTACCTCTGGCAGCGGGAAAGATCAACTAGGCTATTGAGAGCCCACCTGGATCCCAAAATCTGGGAGGAAAATCAGTTTTGCCAGCTTAGTCCCTCTGACCCATGAAAAATCAACATCCACGAGCTCTGCCGTTGCTGTCAGGAGTTCAGCATTTTGTGCAAAAGAAATAAATTTAGAAAGAGGAGATCCTTTCATGTAGGCAGATCCTTTCTGAGAGAAAGGATCTAGAACCTTTCTGGATATTGCGGGAGAAGTAATACAGACTGGAAGCACAGGGCACCTCTGACCCCTCCCTGTATGATATTCTTGTGGGATTTCAGAGGCCTGAATGTGATGGCTGGGCTTGTCACTTTCTGCTCAGTGTGCAAAAAATTCCTGGCCTTGAAGAATCTGCAGCCCAAATGCACAACTCCAGAAGAAGGGCAAGAGAAGGTAGACTGTGCAGGTCAGTGGCAAGAATGGTCTCTGAATTTCGAGTGAAGAACTCTGCCCTCTGAGAGTTCGCAGCTTACAGCACTGGTTGTAAAGGTAACAAGTGGCATAGTTAGCTGTCCATAGTGCCCAGGCATGAGAGATTTTATATGGCTCTGTTACTGCTAACTTCAGAAGGGTGATATTTAGCAAAGAACAGTGAAGATGAATAGCAAGTACTGCAGCCCAAGGCCTCCTTAGTTGAGGTGGCAGAAAGAAAGAGCTGCCTGCATTAGTTATCACAAGATTGCTGTGAGCCACTAGCACCATTATAAATTAAGTGGGACCCTCAGGTGTTCCAATTAAAATTCTAGGAGAGGTTTACTGCTGCTGTACCAGGCTGTATTGCTGTGGTTTAGCAATGGTACTCCCCAATTCAGTGCCCTCACTGAGACTCTCCAAACCTGTTTTCTCCTCCTGCTTCCCACTGCAGTGGGATGGAATTGAGAATTGGAGGCACAAAAGGTAAAGATCTCAGGCTGAGATAAGAACCATTTACTGGAAACAGCAATGAGACAAGAAAAAAATGTAACAACAATAATACTAATGACAGAGGGTATAAGAAAAAAAGTTATGCACATGAAAAACACCTCCAGTATGGGATGGCTCCTTATGCAATGTTTTCTTGATTGGAAGGAACCCCTCCTCTCTGCTAGACAGTCCCTTTCCTACATCCCCAGCAATCGTGAGGTGGTATAGAACAACATCTGTGTCCTGGCCATGCCTGCTCCTGGTTACTATCAAATATTAACCCTGTCGTGGCCGGAATCAGGATGATTGTGAACAGTTCTTAACATCCATGGTAAAGAAATTTGAATTATATATGGTATATTTGATAATAAAAGCTATGAAGAATGACCTGTTTACAGAGGATGATAAGAACTTTTATTCAGTTGAACAAACCAAAAGCTGAGAGGGGAATCTAATTGCTTCCTACTGCATGTCAGGCATCTCCTAATGAGACAGAGAAGAGCTCATTAAGATAAAGACCAGTTATAACCATTTACTATTATGCTACCATCCTTTAATACTCTGAGGGGAAAACACGAACATGAATGTCACAAGAAGAGTGAGAGTCCTGAAGAGCTTTGAAGAATTAGGAGAAAAACTGCTCCCTAAATTTAAGATACACAGTCTCTTTCACAGACTAAGACCTAACCTTGCTTGTAAGGACACAAACATAGGCATGAATGAAGTTGTTCCTCTTTGAAGTAATATGAAGATTACAAATCCTATCCCCTCAAAAAATCAGACCAATTTAGAGCAAAATATCTAGATACTGGCCAGGATCAAGTAAGTATGTAACTTAATTCCTATGGTGGTGTGAGGAGTAGACCTTTCAGCAGACCAAAGCTGATTTATAGGGTAGGACTGATATCACTGACACCCCCAATAGCTTAAGTACACAATCAATTGCAAATAAAAATATTAAAAGTACAATAAAGGGTGAAAGGGGGGAGTAAAGCACACCTAAATATTGGGACTTGCTTGTCCAACAGAATCTTCCTTCTACTCCTACCCCTCTTTATTGTTGTTTCATTCCATATAATAAGGAAATAGTTTTACATTGCATCATTTTCTCAAAATTAGTATATGGCCAAATCCAAGCTACTAAAAAGGTCTGGATACCAATGAGCAGTCAAAATTTCAAATCTAATTGCTGGGCTGTTAAATGCGCTGGACCACAAACTTCATTAGCAGCCGTTTGACCTATAACAGCTAAAATAAAAAGAAGCAAAGACCTCAACAGTGAACAAACGATACTTGTCATGTTCTCCTGACCAGTGATCATTTACAGTGTAAGGCCTGCCTGAATTGAGTGATGTGACAGTAGCAGCTGCAGAGGATAAGCAAGCAAATCTACAAAAGCCTCATTTAATCAGGTAGGTAGATAACAAAGTTAGTTTAATATAGTCCTGTTAATATTGTCTTTTACTAAAGTTTTATCTGGGAAGGAGCATTTATGAGTTTGGATTTTGTTGTTGATGTTGTTTTTTGTTTCTACCAGCTGCTGAATAGATTAATGCACTGTTTCCATAAGACCTCTACAGAACACTTTTGGTCAGTTCTCATGCACACAATAGCTGCCTGCTGCTGGCAGGGTGGGGGAGAAAGGTCTCCTATACATTATTAGCAGCTTCCAGCTAACTTAAAGGCAGGATGTGGTCCCTTTCTTTAATGTTACTCTAAAAATATTTCTGGACACTTTTGCTTGCAAAAACTAGCACCAAACCTAAAATTTTGATCAACTGTTATATTCAGAAGGACAAAAAGATGGCATTTCACAAATTAGCAATTTGAAATAAATGCCTTAAAACTCTTAGTGTGTGCAATACAGAGGTAATACTTGAACACTGTGCAAAATGAGGTGTTTTCTCTGTGTTGCTTGTTTGGTTGGGTTTTTGGAGTTTTGTTGGTTTGTCTGTTTTCACAAAAATTTATTTGAAGGGTGACTTTTGTCTAGGAAAAAAATTCACCTATACTCCTATTAAATAAAATGAAAACTGTGTCACCTAATAACTTCTAATAACTGTGTCTTAGATAACCCTTCAGCCAGTTTCAGGCACTCAACATGACAACAGTTCTGCTTCACTGTGAGTCCCTCCCAAAAGAATAAATGCAGTTTAGCTTTGGCTTGCAGAATTTTCTTCATTAAGGATTCATGTGCCCACTAAACTCAGTAAAAGAAGTGCTTAGAGCAGAGAAATTAAAACTCCAGGTATGAAAGCAACACTTCTAAGAGACATAAATAATCATAATTAAATCAGGCTTTCAAAACTGAATCTGATTTTTACTATTTTCTGTTTCTTCTTCTTAACCATTCAGAGGCAGATAGGATCCTCTTAATTTAGGATTCCTTGTCATCCAAAACTTCCATCAATATGTTTGAAAATCTTTTCTTTCTATTTTCTTCCAATGGAAATGGCAGAGTGACAATCTTGGTAGAATAGTGAGATGCCATCACCATCCAATACCAACTTGGACAGGACAGGCTATAGAGCACTCAGTCATAGGCAGGTTGTACATTTCCCATCAGTTTCTTGACTTAATGTGAAATAACATAATTTTTATCAAACATATCACTCTTGGCTTTAGTTAACTCCAGGCCATACTTTCTTCTAGAAAGAGATAACATCCTTATTTTGCAGTTTTACATCTTTGTTGGAATGCAAATACACATCCAAGAGACTATCAAACACAAGCATTTAAGCAGAGCTCCGCTTTGAGAGCAAATGTGTTTTCTCTAAGATATATGAGCAGGTCTGGAGTTTATAAACTTCCAGTTACTGGGGAGCTGACCACTCGACAGCCTCACATGTGCTGGAACAGCACAGTGTCACTTGCTGATGACAAAAGTTCCTGTTCACAAATCTGATACTAAATAAATAAACCACACAACATCTTGAAGGCTTCACCCGCAGTTGCTGTGAATTTCCCCTTTCCGAGCTACTCGGAAGGCTGCAGTACTTGGCTTCTGGAGAACTGGGAGAGGGAACGCTAGAATGGCTTGATTAGGAGTAAAAGGTTTTATTGATCCTCTCTCAAAATCTCATTCAGTTTCCAGAGCGTACCTGTCTCTGCAGAACCTGAAACCTTGTGAGAGCGGGAAGATTGTAAAGCGCCTGTTTATCCAGTCAGACCAAGAACTGGAGCAGCTCACACCTTTCTATAGGTGGTACAGCTGTTTCCACCGTTCGGACCGTCACTGACGCTGCCGTTTTTCCCAGAGCAGAAGAGCCCCAGCACTGGTGAGCCCCTCGGGGAAGCGGTGCACACGCCGCGGGAGCGCCCGAGCCGGGTGGGCGCCGTTCAGCACCACGGCCCCGGGGACCGGCCGGGGGAGCCCGGCGGGCACGGGCACGGGACGGACTCGCCAACACCCGCACCGAGGAGCAGGACCCAGCCCCAGCCTGGTCAGACCCCCGACCCCTCCGGCCCCCTCCCCGCCCGCCGTCCCCGCTCACCTGCCCGCGGCGGCCAGCCCGGCGGCGAGCAGGGCGGCGAGCAGGGCTCTCCCGGCCACCGGTACCATCGCCGGGGCGCGGGCGGCCCCCGGCGGTGTCTGTGTGTCCCTCTGTCTGTTGGTGGGGCGGCAGCGCCGGAGCGCGGGCGGGCGGCGGGACGGGGCCCTATAACCGGGCGGGGCGGGGCGGACCCGCCTCCGGCTTCGCTCCCCCCGCGTCCCGGGACGGGGCAGGCAGGGACCCCCGGCGGGGCCGGGCGCGGAGTCACGGCGGTGTCCCTCTGGGATAGCCATGTCCCTCCGGCCCGATACCAGTCGCTGCTGCAGGCTCACCCCGTTCCGCACCCGCTGTCCCCCGTGGCACCGTTGCGATGGGCTTCTGTCAGCGGGAAACGGCATTTGCATTGAAAGGTTTCCAGGCTTTGCCTTTCAGTCGCAGGACCATCCCTGACCAAACTTTGTTTCATAGGCTAAGGAAAGTGCTTGGATATAAGGAAAAAGTTCTTAACTAAAAGGGTGGCCAGGAATTGGAACAATCTGCCCAGTGGAATCACTGTCCCTGGAAGTGTTGGAAAATCTTTAGATGTGGTGCCTGGGGACATGGTTTACTGGTGGACTTGGCAGTGTCAGGTTAAAGGTTGAAGTCAATGGTCTTGGAGTCTTATCCAACCTAAACGATTCTAGGATTCTAAGTTGCTATTTAAGCTGCATGTGCTCGCTGGTGACATTCTTTCTTGATAGCTAGTCCTTCGGCTTTGGTGCTGCTGCCACTGCACATAAACTGCCTCACCACTGATATATCCTCCTAGGATAATGCTTGTACTTCGGGAGTGCTGGGGTTTGTGTTAGGGTTCTTCTCAAGATTAACTAATAACTCTATCTTTTTGCAGTGATGTTGAAGCTGTGACTGATGTTTGCAAGCAAACTAAAAATGTTTCAGTGGTAAAATATGTTCTGCCTGTGTTGAAGATACAGACTTTCCCCCAAAATAGGTTCAAGTCACCTTGTAGAGTGGACCAGAGGTACCAAAAGATGGCAAATTTAGTCCCACAATTCAAATGACATCAAATTAAAATTAATCTAATTAAAAGAAACACATGTGCAATGCTGATTGTGTGTTGTGCAGGATGGTAGAGACACTTTTTTCTTCTTCCTGGACTCTGGATGCAAAAGCCATTGCTGGTTTTCAGCTGTACTGCTGTCTTTCTGAAATGCAGTAGTACCTTGAGACTCTCTAACTCTCTTCATTAGACTTGCCTTCCTATATGGGAGGAGTAGGCTTTTGGTTTTAGCTAAGTCAGTGCCATGTAGAAAGCATTCTAAATACTTAAAGCTATATTAAAAAATTTGTAGTTTTATTATGCACATTTATTCCAGCAAATAGATATGAATGAATAATTTGATGCTGGGCTTGCCATTAAAATATTGATCAGTGTTCAAGACAAGTTTTATTGGTCAAAAGACAATTAATTTCTGAATAGTGGTGCATGTAGTCTGTTATGAGCTATAATTATTTCCTCAAAAATCTTTACTTTTTATGAAGAGTGCCTTGTGGATAGATAATAAAATGATTACCTGAAACTCTGTCTTTAATTTAGAACAATAAACAAGGACAATGGATTTAATGACGCATGTTTATATGTGCTAGGATATTCATATTTCACTCTTTAGAACTTCTAGCCTGCAAGATACCTGAGATCCCCTTGTCACTGAGTTTTGCTGTGTGATTCCCAAGGTGAGAAATTCTCAAGTCTCAGGTCATGATTCATCCCTGAAAAGATGGGACAGAGTGAGACAGGACACATATACTCACACTTATCTTGTTAATTAGGTTTTGCTTTAACCACACAGAGAGTTACATGTATCTTTTTCCACAGAAGATGTCAAGACTTTAACTATAACCTCACTTGGTTATAATAAGAATTAAAATTGTTGTAAATCAGCCTGAGCCACAGTGTGTAAATCATGATGTCCTTTGGAGTTTAAACATGCTGATTTGCCACCAGGACATGAAGATTCATTAGAACTCTGGAGGAATTTCAGTTGCACATCTGACACCCTTTCCTCTTCATTCACATTCCTTGGCCATCTAAATAATATTTTTTTATTATTTTTATCAATACTGCAGTTTTGCACCAGTAAATCTGCATTGCTTTGATAGTAGCAAATTTTAATGGAATAACCTCTCATCCACACCTCTTTAGAGGAGAGGAAAAACTCCATGCAAGGTCTCAAGGGAATAAACTGGCTTTCTGGGCTGGTCCCAGAGGTCAGCATGATCTCCCCCATGGTCTATCAGCCCTGGTGGTCCCTGCTAAGTAGTATTTCACATTGCCTGCTGGAATGGGACTAGCCCTGAGTCTCCCCCATTCCCTGTGATTTGTTAGGGAAATGTTTATTGAGATTGTAGTCATAGCTGTCTCCGAAATGAAAGCTAATGGGCAGTTTTTAGACCAATCTCCCAATCTTGTTCTGAGTTCTCACAGGGGCTCTTTCATACCAAGATGATGTAAGAGTGACCTGTGACTTCTATAGTCATATATAACATGTCTTACAGGAATCACCCTCAGCTTTTAGGGAAACCTGTTTTGTACTTCATGCAATCCTGGCAATTAAGACCTTAGGCTTCCTCATGCACTTCAGAGTCGCCTCATGGTGTATTTTGCAAAGTGCTGGGAAATACACCAAAGTCGTATTTGCTTAGGTTTTTCCTACTTTTCCCACTTGCTTCTTCCTCTCTGATGGTTACTGTGGAACTGCTCTGTAGGCTCATGGGCCCTGGAGCTTCCATGCAGGCGAGGAGATTCAGCCTCCACAGCATGCTGGAGGCACACAAAGTACAGACCCTGACACAACTCTTGCTGTACCGTGATTTAATATGCTTTTTTCCTCTGAAGCAGTAGCTCTCGTACTCTAAGGGATGGAAGGGTGCGAGAGAAGATGGTTTATGAGGCTATGGAAGAGCTGAACTAGGTTTGCCTCTTTCTTTCCCACACTCTGGGTATCCTTTCCTCTTAGAAAGGAAAGGGTTGCATTTTTAAATTAAACCTTGAGCTCTGAAAAGTGCTGCAAGTCCCATGTGAAGAACCCAATACCAAGTATCTAATACATAAAGCCCCCTGTACGAGCCCTTGTTTCCCACCTGGCCTATTTTAGTTGATACCTGTGCAATCCATGCGTGCATCAGGGATTGCCATTTCCAGCAGTTTTATGAATGAATGTAATAGAAGATCACTATGTGGATTTCACTGAGGAATTTTTTAAGTATAATTTCCTGGTTTTTATGTAATTTTCCTTAGTTTTAGGTCTCCTGCCAAAAAGATTTAGACTTTTTTTTTCTTCATATTATTTCTCTACATACTAACACACAAATCTTTCTCTGCTTGACTACATTAGCCTGTAACAAAAATAATTCAGTCACAGTTGTTCCTCTTATATTTAACACTTTTCATATGGTAACCCAATAACATGCTGCCTCTTAGTAGTTTTTTGGTTTGTTTTTTGTCAGAAAAAACACTGTACCACAGTGATTTTAAAGTTTGTTTAGAAATACTTTGTTTAAAAAATGTAAAGTTCACGTAATCTATGCCTTTATATTTACATATTAATAAGTGTTAAATAAATGTTATTGTCCTGTCATTCAGTGCTTTGGAGCTTTAAACTTCAACAGGTTGTCCTTTTTAACTGTTTTAAAAATTACAGTGAGATCTTTTCATAGTCCCCTGACATTTTAGGAAAATTGTCAGTGGTCATGAGGAACCCAGAACTACAGGAGTGAGAACTGGGCAGCTGGGCTCTGCACTTACAGGAAGAAGCCAAGAGTCTAAAGACTTTTGTCTGCCTTCATTTTTCTAGATGTTACCAGTGTCTATAAGTATTGGAGGGAGGGTGTCAAGAGGATGGAGCAAAGCTCTTTTCAGTGATGCTGAGCAATACAACAAGAGGCAACTGGCAGGAACTGATGCACAGGAAGTTCCCCCTGAACATGAGGAAGAACTTCTTTACCGTGCAGGTGATCGAGCACCAGAACAGATGGCCCAGAGAGGTTGTGGAGTCTCCCTCACCAGAGATACTCAAGAACTGCCTGGATGCAACTCTGCGCCATGTGCTGGAGGATGACTCTGCTTGATGGGCCTGGAGGTTGGACCTGGTGACCTACTGTGGTCCCTTCTAACCCGACCTGTTCTGTGATTTTGTGATTCTGTGATTCTGTGATTCTGTGATTCTGTGATTCTGTGACTGTATCTAGCTTGAGAGCTGATATGTTTTTGCCAACCAGGATGCAGAGCTGCTTTGTAGAATTCATCAAGCCTTCCTGCACGTTAAAGTACTCAGTTTCTAAAGCAGATATTTTCAGATGTTGTTGAAGTTTTTTGTAGACTGAATGATTCTGTGATTGAATGAGGTTTTATATCTGTCAAAACAGTGAAATCCCTTTAGTCCACTGGGGTAATTAAGTTATGTATAAAGATCATCTGCTATGTGTATTGCCATCTAAATAACTTTGGATAGAAAGCTCTCTATAGCATGGTAAGGCCAATTTGAGAGTGACCAGAGACTGATTTTCCCATTCAAAGGTGAAATGTTGTTTTTAGCCTCGTATTCTCAGCTGACAGACTGTTGTAGTCATGTAATGAATTCAGGTTCTCTCTATGTCTTAGTGTTTGGAGCAGGTGTTGGTTTAAGATTCTAATTTTTCTTATGCTGCAAATATGAATTATTTAATCTTTAATTAGGAATCACAGAAGATTGATGAAGTTGAAACAGAAATACTTAAGCTAAAACATTTACATTAAGCTATAGATAGAGTGAAAAATAACAGTGCACTAAAGACTGAAATATTGCTATAGTGGAAATCCTGGCTATGTCCCTGTTTTTTTTTTTTTTTTTTTTTTTTTTTTTTTTTTTTTTTTTTTTTTTTTTTTTTTTTTTTTTTTTTTTTTTTTTTTTTTTTTTTTTTTTTTTTTTTTTTTTTTTTTTTTTTTTTTTTTTTTTTTTTTTTTTTTTTTTTTTTTTTTTTTTTTTTTTTTTTTTTTTTTTTTTAGTTAGCTGAAGTTCCATTTGTATTGCCAAGTAGTTT